AATGCAATACCGCTGCAGAGCCCTGGGAAGATGTCGTAGGACGAAAAAGGCAGCACAGCCCAGAACAACGATTGATAAGGCAAAAACAAGCAAAACTCAATAGCTACTGGTTGAGTGCACCTGTTTCAACTTCCAACAGATTTACCGGCCTTGAAGATGAAAGCTCTGAGAGAGTAGAGAAGCCTCATAAGCCTCCGCCAATATTTGTTGATAAAGTCAGTAACATCAAGCCATTAATTAATATGCTTGAAGTTACAATACCAGGAAATTTTGAAATTAAAGTACTACAGTCTGAGCGAGTTAAAATTCAGGCAAACACTGCTGAGTCTTACAAAATTATGAACAAAGAGTTGAAAAAAAGGAACACTGAATTCTTCACCTACCAACCCAAAGACGAACGTAGCTTTAGAGTAGTCCTAAAACATATGCATCCTTCTACTGATTTAGAAGAAATCAAATTGGCACTTGAAGATCTCCACCATGAAGTAAGGAAAATCTGGAACATCAAACATGGACAAACGAAAAGGCCGCTCAGCATGTTCTTTATCGACCTAAAATCGCAGGCTAATAATAAAGATATTTATAAATTGAATAGCATACTCAATTGTAGAGTTACCTTTGAAGCTCCTAGACCCAAACGAGACATCCCACAATGCTCTAATTGTCAGCAACATGGACACACCAAAAATTTTTGTCATAGACAACCAAAGTGCGTTAAATGTGCAGGTTCTCATCGCACATCTGACTGCTCCAGGAAGGAACGTTCCGATAAGTTGAAGTGCATCCTCTGTGACGGTAACCATCCTGCGAATTACAAAGGTTGTAAAGTCTACAAGGAGCTACAGAAAATGAAATACCCAACCCCACCTCCAAAGAAACCCTTAAAGTCACCCCTAAATTCAAAAATAACTCGCCAACTGGAGCAACTAACCCAACATATAGCGAAATAGTACAAAACAACTTACCAACAAAAGACATCACAGACACACAAACAACGGAATCTTTCTTGCTAAAGTTAAATGAAACAATGCAAGCTGTTATGAATCAGATGTTAATAGTCACAAAACTGCTAACAGAACTCACGTCAAAATTGACTTCACATTCCAACCACTAAATATATGTGTGTGGAATGCAAATGGCCTGTCAAATCACTCTGAGGAGTGAAAATTATTCCTAAAAATAAAAAAAAATAGATGTAATGCTAATTTCAGAAACCCACTTTACAAGCAAAAGCTATTTCAAAATACAAGGGTACTCTCTGTACCACACTATGCACCCAGATGGCAAAGCACACGGTGGCGCTGCAATCCTGATAAAGGCAAATATCAAGCATCATGAGTCCTCACCCTACTCAAAGAAATATCGGCAAGCATCATCCATCGTGGTATCCGATTCAATCAACAAATTAACTTTGTCAGCCGTCTACTGTCCACCAAGACACACCATCAAAAATACTGAGTTTGCTGATTATTTCCGTTCTTTGGGGCCGAGATTTGTCGCTGGAGGTGATTACAACGCCAAACATACGTACTGGGGTTCAAGGCTGATACTACCTCGTGGTCGTGAACTACTTAGATGCGTCCAAATGAACAACATGTATGTTCTCTCATCAGGCCATCCCACATACTGGCCAACAGATCCCAAGAAAATACCAGATGTCATCGACTTTTGCGTAATTAAGGGAATAGTCAAAAATGATCTGACCTGCCAAAGCTGTTTGGACTTATCATCGGATCACTCACCAATTATTATTAACCTTTCTACCACCTTAACAGCGGAGGAACCTAGGTGCAATCTACACAATCGTAGAACAAACTGGTCACTATTCCGGCACTTAATTGATACAGCATTGGTTGAACCAGCTAGACTAAAGACTGAGGATGACATAATTTATGCAGTCGAACATTTTACAAGGTCTCTGCAAGATGCTGCTTGGGATTACACACCACTGGCAGGAAAAACTGGGGAAGATTTGCCCATAGCCCATCACCTTCTAGAGTTGGTAGTACAAAAGAGAAGACTGAGGAAACGGTGGCAACTATCACAATGCCCACAAGCGAAAAAGCTGTTTAATCATGCCATCAGGAAAGTCAAGAATGCAACCACTCGAGATCGTAATTTGGCCTTTCAATTGCATCTGAGCGGTCTGGATGCCTCCGCATCATCAGACTACTCGCTGTGGAAAGCTACTAAGAAAATTAGAAGACCTATTAATGTCTCCCCAGCCTTGCGTGCACAGGACAGGAGATGGGCTCGTACTGATGCCGAAAAAGCAAACACTTTCGCTGTCCACCTACAATCCGTTTTCAAACCCCATCCAAATGAAGGTACACCCGAACATGAAAGAGAGGTATCTATCTACTTGGCGGAGGAAGACTCAAGCGCCGAAATAGTTGACGACATGCCCAATTTCAATAAAAATGAAGTGGTACGGGCTATAAAAAAGATTGACTCAAAGAAGGCCCCCGGTTTCGACCTCATCACTAGTAGGCTGCTGGCCGAACTGCCAGACTCTGGAATGACTATGCTCACGTCCATTTATAATGACAAGACTCAGATTTTTTCCCTCCACAGTGGAAAGTAGCCAAAATAATAATGATCCCTAAGCCCGACAAGGCTCTGGAAGATCCTAAATCCTACAGACCTATCAGTCTACTACCGATTCCTTCGAAAGTTTACGAGTCGCTCCTATTAACTCGCATGTTACCAATAATTAAAACAAAACATCTGGTTCCAGACCATCAGTTTGGATTTCATCATAAGCATGCTACTATCGAACAAGTTCACAGACTTACAGTCGAAATACATAAAGCGTATGAAGCCAAAAAATACTGTACAGCCGTCTTTTTGGACATCTCGCAGGCCTTCGATCGGCTCTGGCACCAGGGTTTGCTTTACAAAATTAAAAAATCCATCCCCCATCGCCTGTTTTGTATGATCAAAGCTTTCATAACTAATCGTCACTTTATGGTTCAGTGTGGAAACGAGATGACAAGCCTTTGCCCCATCATAGCGGGGGTTCCACAGGGAAGTGTAATTGGTCCGATCCTCTACCTGCTCTACACCTCGGATTTACCCACCAGTGAAAAAATTACAACAGGTACTTTTGCTGACGACACAGCCATTTTGGCCACCCATAGTCAGCCAGAAATCGCAGCCAAACTACTACAAGAAGGTTTGAATAACATAGCCGACTGGCTAAAAAGGTGGCGGATCAAAGCTAATGAAAGCAAGTCGGTCAACGTTACTTTGACCCTGCGAAGAGAGCACTGTCCACCAGTGAAGCTGAATGACGTAGAAGTCCCTCGGGCAGATCACGTGCGGTATCTTGGACTGTACCTCGATAAACGTCTTACCTGGAAGAAACACATTCTTACCAAGAGAAAACAGCTTGGTCTACAGCTGAGAAAACTTTACTGGCTCATTGGTTGTAAATCCCAGTTATCAAGGGAAAACAAACTTCTAGTATATAAAGCCATCCTCGAACCTGTGTGGACGTACGGCATACAACTATGGGGAACAGCCTCACACTCCAACATAGAGATCTTACAACGTTTTCAAAATAAAATGCTGCGCATAGTTACTGGTGCCCCATGGTTTGTGACTAACGAACAACTGCACAACGATCTGAAGATGCCTACAATCAGGGAGGAAATAACTAGACACACTAAGGCATACAGGGACAGAATATCAAACCACCCAAATATATTGGCCCAACCGCTTATGGACAACAGTTTGAAAATCCGTAGGCTAAAGCTCATAATCTCCCAGGATGTGCTGTGATAAGAGAACATTATAACTAGAACAGGGTACGACATTGGCCGCATCCCTGCACACGACTTACAATTTATGCCCAATCTATCGCTTAATGTCCTGATAAAGAGACAGATTGCTGTATTAAAGATGAACAAAAAAAAAATATCTTATTTAAATTAAATTCATAAATCCATAAGCAAGTGTATACTTATGTTTGGCATACGCAACAATATATTTTGTCCTAAAAAACCTGTAGAATCGACCGTTAGACCGTTAGGACCGGGCAAAATTTTATAGGATTTTTCTTAGAGGACAAATATAGATATAGTTACTCCTTATATAAACAGCTTCTTGGTAGTAAAGTATTATCAAACCCGATGCAGAAGTTTGAAGTTTGAAGATTACCCGTTTGAACAGACAGACAGACGGACGGTCTGATCCCAGTAGTTCCATTCTTTAGTTCCATAATGGTACTACTTAGACTGTGACTACTAATTAAATAGGTTCAAACTATACATGGAGCGGTTTTGGTTGCATGACATCGAACGACCAATTTTGTAAGAAGCATAGCAGGCTAGACTAAATTAATTGTTTAAAATGACTGTAATAACTTTACAGAAACTATTGTAGATTTTATCAAACGACGTTATATATTACATGGTATGTTTAAAGACAATACAAGAAAAATTAAATCCCGACATGAAAAAAGACTAATTTTATTGTGAAGGACATCCTTGTCACAGAAGTTATTTCTTACAGAAGCATCGTCCGCGTTTCTCATGGATAGAACTGATGAGAAATGAAAAAGACATGTTACCCATAATCCTTTTTATTAATAATTGACCTATATAATACTGAAACAGGCAAATAATAGTTACACATGTTTATTTCATTATGATTGTACTGGAACAAATGGGACGAATTTTGTCTTGCATAAACAGCACTCCAGTGCCATGGAAGTACTGGGAGAAAAAAATAACAGTAGTACCATAATGGAACTAGAGAATGGAACTACTGGAATCAGACGAAAAAGCCTATTATTTTGATATTACAAACACATACTTCAATTTTATTTATTTGTATAGATACTAAACCGCGTTGGCGATATAAATAAGGTGATCGAATAGCGGGCCTAACTGTTTAGTTATAATATTCCGAAAGTAGTAGGTGCGTACCTAATCCTCTGGTAGGATTTCATACATATACGCTAATAAGTAGAGCCTTATGCATAACAGAATACTTACAATTTATGAAAACCTATATCATGGTTGCCAGCAACAACATGCATAACAGTATCAGAATCCTCCGGGATAGGAAACAGTTCATGAAATCGATCCACGTAAAATTTAAACTGTCTGCTGTTACTCCACTCTCCCTCATCAAATAGATCACCTGGCAATAGTTATAATATAGAACATAATAATAATACTTAACTAAACATACTTATATTATTATCACTAAATGCATTCCTAATATAGACAAATGACACCCAGACACAAAGAAGGAATGTTCTCATCTTACAATTATTTGTCCTGAGTGGGAGTCGAACTCGTGAACTGTGTCACGCTCAGCCGCCGTAATCATTAACCACCAACGGGCGGATCGAAAAACGGTTGGTAAAGTATAGTGCTGTCATACGTGACGGTATACCGGGAAATGTCATGGTTTTAAGCGTTATGTCTCAGTGTCACGGTCAATGATTCATTTGTCCGGGTTTGGTAGCAAGGTGTACCTACATGCATGTGTCGTATGCAATCGATATCGGGGCAAGATTGGGTGAAGTGTACAGTATTGCCAGTTAATTAAACTTCCCACATCTCCTAAAACTACTCTGTTTGAGTTCGGTAGAAAACATCATCCAATGCATATATTATAATTTTAAAATGACGTAGGTACACAGAATTTTATAACTCCGTAAAAGGTGAAGAATAGCTACTTCAAAAGTCAGTACTTCAGACTAATATGAATAGACAAATAAAAGTGGCACAAAACGACAACAAAAAGTATTTTTTTTAACTTTCTCAATATTTAGATATGATCTTTAGACCTGCTGTTCTCCGTGAGTGTTGTCCAGGCTGGTTTGAAAAAGTTGAGAAGCAACATGTTATCCTGTTATGGACATGTGTAGCGTAGAATTAGCAAAATGTAGTGAAGCAAGTTTTATTTACGGACATAAGAGAGAGGACAAACAAAGAAAACACGGATGGTCTGCATGAAAGAGGATATGGCTAGAATCGTAAGCAATAAAATGTACTGACGAGTGACAGAGAAGAATGGAAGAAGAAAACTCATTGCGCTAAATTTGGGAAAGAGTTAAGCTAATAACGAATGGACAATAAACATTCTAGTTCCCTACCTCAATTACTTATTAAATAGGGGTGTTGTTTTTTTGTTTTATTGTTGATATTTGTCATATTTACCAAAAACGACGCTTAAAAGTTACTAACCACATAAATAAGTGCCAAGTGTAGAAATCGGATTAAAAAAAATATGTTTTCATTTGGTTTATCGTTGATTTTTTAACATTTTATTTCATTCTAGTAATTTTATACCGAAAATGAAAATGAAAATTCCCAACTTAATTGTGTCAAGTGGAAAAGTCGGATTAAATAAAATAGGGTGTAGTTTTGTTTTCTTGTTGTATTTTTTATATTTGACTAGTTGACCCCGCAAACGTTGTTTTGCCATATATCTACATTGTTTCAAAAAAAATTGTCAAAAATAAATAAATTTGTGGTATGAAAAATAGATGTTAGCCGATTCTCAGACCTACCAGATCTGCACACAAAATTTCACGAAAATCGGTCTAGCCGTTTCGCAGGAGTTTAACTTCTAACACCGTGACACGAGAATTTTATATATTAGACTAGCTGACCCGGCAAACGTTGTTTTGCCATATAACACATGGGCTGAAAAGTCCCGGACCTAACAAAGAAAACACAGTTTTTTTGGTTCAAAATTAGCTTTAATCATCAACTTAATCTCCATCAAGAGCAACGCAATCATTCCAGCGCTGCTCTAACATTTCAATACCACTTTTGTAGAACGATTTATCTTTTGCCTCAAAATAGGCCCCAGTTTCAGCGATAACCTCTTCATTCATGCGAAATTTCTTACCGGCGAGCATTTTTTTCAGGTCTGCGAACAGCCAATAGTCGCTGGGAGCCAAATCGTGCGAATACGGTGGATGTGGGAGCAATTCGAAGTTCAATTCATGTAGTTTTGCATTGTTTTGATTGACTTGTGACACGGTGCGTTGTCTTGATGAAACAAATTTTTTTTCTTTGCCATATGCGGTCGTTTGTTTGCAATTTCGGCCTTCAAACGCTCCAATAACGCTATATAATATTCACTGTTAATGGTATTTCCTTTCTCAATATAGTCGATGAATATTACACCACGCACATCCCAAAATACCGAGGCCATAACCTTTCCAGCCGATTGTTGTTCTTTCGGGCGCTTTGGACGAGGTTCACCAGTTGCTGTCCACTCAGATGACGATCGTTTTGATTCCATATAGTCACATACACAATATATAGTCACATATCGACGCAAAAATTCTAGTTTGTTACGTTTAAACATGGCCAAACACTGCTCAGAATCATCAACACGTTCTCATTATAGGTCAACAGTGAGTAAACGCGGCACCTACTTTGAACAGAGCTTTCTCATAGCTCATGCAATTGCTCATGCAATATAAAGCCAACACGTTCTTTTGATATCTTTACGATGCCAGCTAACTCACGCAACTTCACTTTTCGATCATTCAAAACGATTTTGTGGTTTTTTTTTTATGTTTTCTGGTGTTACCGCCTCATTTGGACGTCCACTGCGTTCTGCATCATCGGTGTCTCTACGACCACCTTTGAAGTCAGCAAGCCAACGTTTTATTGTTGTTTCTGATGGAGCGGAGTCCCCATAACACTTTTCAAGCCATCACTTTCAAGCTTCGCTTGAACGGTATTTTTTCCCATCAAGAAGCAGTGTAAAATTAAAACACGAAATTGTTTTTGATCCATTGTTTTGAAAATAACAAAAGTAGCGTCACTCTTAGCACAATAACTCACAAACTAATGAATAGAATATCATGAAATTCTAACAGCTGTCTTTTGAAGGTTAGTATTAACTGAAAAAAGGTGACTGCAATAAAACTAGCGCCATCTATGTGTTAGGCCCGGGTCTTTTCAGCCCATGTAATACATTATTTAAAAAAAAAGGTCAAAGAAAATAAATTAGGGGTATGAAAAATAGATGTTGGCCGATTCTCAGACCTACCCGATATGCACACAAAATTTCACGAAAATCGATCTAGCTGTTCTGTCGAGGAGTTCAACTTCTAACACCGTGACACAAGAATTTTATATATTAGATTAGTACTGGTAAATCTACAAAACTTCCTTATCTTATAAGTACCTATGAAGTGGAAGTCAGTTAAAAAAAATAATGTTGATCGAGCTTTTGGATTTGTCATGGTTTATGTAACCTTTTATGTTTACAAAGGTCCCGATCGGTGATTCAATAGTTATGACAGCGCTAATATGGTAAGATAACATCAAGTCAATTTATGGAGTAATAGCTTTGGGCCTCGACTCCGCCTGCTGTATGTCGGTTATGGCGGTAAAAAGTTGCATAATATATGTTACTCGCTGATTAATGTAGCTTTCCATTGATGAAAGAATTTATAAAATCAGTTAAACAGTTTAGGCGTGAGAGCGTAACAAACAAACAAACTCACTTTTACATTTTTAAAATATGAGTATAGATGTACATTTATTACCAAGCACATATATATTTTTTGTTTTATTTATATATACATTCTTCCACTACCTTGATTATTTTAATGTATAATCTATCACGTATCATCTATTTGTATACTAATATAAAAAACAGAAAAGTTTGATTTTTGCTTTCGCGCCGTAACCTTTGGAAATAGCAGTTGAAAAATTATCCTTGCATTTGATAGTTTTATTCATGAAATAAGTTTTAAGGCTATTTGAATTTATGCTACGATCATTTGGATAGGAGTGGTGACTAAAAATACAGTTTATAGTTCGCTTTTTATTTTGTGATGTAAGGGGCAAACGAGCAGACGTCCAAGTAACGTCACAGTCACAGTAACGTCAAATTGTTGAATCTTTACATAGGTTAAAATAAAGTCACTTTTTTAAGAAGCGAAATTTATGCGGTTTTCACCAATAGAAAGAGTGATTCAAGAGGAAGGTCTGTATGTATGCATGCATATTATAGTAGAGAAAATCCGAGAATTTCAAAGATTTGTCTTAAAAAACATGGTTTGCGCGTTTACATTGCAAACGCTGGCTAATCCTTACAAGATAGACCAAAATAATGTACTATGGAATTTTATACCTTCCAAAAATCTACAAAAAGTCAGCGATGGTGTAATATGTCTATCTCCTAAGAATAACCCACACAGGCCATTTTTATCTTTAAAATAATACAAAAAAAAGGGTTATTTACGAAGCTATTTTCAACAATACATTATTATGCCTTATCCATTTAAATACGTTAGGTACAATGTGAATTTAATGTAGATTTAAATTGCTCTTTACAGCATATCCTTAAAACCCGTCGCCGCTACGGGCCGGACGTCGGTCGCGGGCAGCAGCGGACGGCAGGATCAGAGCGAGCCTATTAATATTGCATATAAAGATGTCCTGTAATTTAATCCTATCATAATAAATAATTACTCCACACTAACACCACATTAGTAATATTTACATTGCACCATTGATCGCTAGTTTTATTATAAAATCTTACCTAAAACAAAAACCACATCTGGTTTGTGTATTGTTAATATAGCCATATAGGCTTGGTGCATCTGCCACTCCCGTCTCCATTTGTCAAGCCAGTGTCCTTTTCGTGGACCCAATAAATGTGTGTCAGACAAAATGAAGGCCTTTAGTGGTGTGTGTGTAGACTCAGCATTTTCTATACTAGGCCAAGAACACTGTAATTGGAAGCATATAACAGTTAGTCAAATATGCTTATACGCGTTCAAAATGTTCAGTAAAAGCTATGAGGAATTTTGGATTTAGTTAGCGATGATTGTTTTTAAGTTTTGCGATTGATATTATAAAGGATTTGTAAACTTTATAAGTCATCGCGAATTAACGGCAATTAACTAACCGATTTACACCCCAACTTAGACCATTAATTCATCACCATCATCAGCCTATCGCAGTCCACTGCTGGACATAGGCCTCTCACCTTGCACGCCACTTAGACCAATTTTCGGCTTCTTGCATCCAGCTCCTGCCAGCCATCCTGCCCAGATCGTCACTCCACCTGACCTGTGGGCATCCTACACTACGTTTGCCTAGACGTGGTCTCCACTCAAGAACTCGTTTACCCCAACGGTTGTCGGTTCTGCGGCTAATCCAGTGGGCTATGTCGATGACTTTGGTTCACTGCCGGATCACCGCATTCCTGATGCGATCCCTTAGAGAAACACAGAGCTTTAAGCTGTGGACCAGTCGTACCGTTATAGATAGATATATGTAATTCGTAGTCGACTATTATTGTATTGTTAACAGTCAAAAATATGTATGCTTATACGCATGCGTGTAAGTTTAAAAACAAAACTAGTGCTGCCATTATATACCTACTTTTTGACAGATCTACCTATTTCGCTTCTATAGTCCATCTAATATAAGGGATGATTAGGGATGATTTATATTAGACCGCGCCGTGCCCGGGGCGTGCCGTGTACGTGGCCCGGACGGGGCACGGATTTGAAACGTTACATACATTTTATATGAACCAGTTTATATTACACAGTGCATAATCCGTGTCCCGTCCGGGCCCGGACGACGCTCGTCTACACGACGGTTGCTGCACGGTCCCGCTCCGTTAAATGAACGCTCTCCCGTGCTGCGTACGGGCAGTAAGCGACGAAGGTTTAGTGAGGGAGCACGTACGTTCTTTTTGTTTTACCGAAGCTCAGTTTCCTTGTGATGCGGAAACAAGATTCATTGTTGCATGACTTTGCGGATAATGGACGACGAAAAATTAATAGAACATGTCCGAAAGTATCCTGAGCTTTATGACATGACGCATCAAATACTTAGTCATACTTAGATACAAAGTTGCAACAATACAAAGTCATAATGATTGACGATATAGACACAGTACCTTAGGTTCTTATTATTCTATTCTTATTATTCTTCTTAGGTTCTATTATTAAAAATGTCCGGCCGGTGAAGAAAACTAATTGTTAAATTTTTCTCTGACCGCAAAGGCATCGTTAGTAGATTGTCCGTGATGTTGTGGTCGTAGTTGATCAAGTATGGACTGTCTTAATTCTAATATAGATTGTTCTGTATCACGTGGTGTAAAAGCCATGTCATTTTGGTTGCTGATTACATGAGACATACCGCTAATCGTTGTTTAGGTTCTATCGGTGTCGAATCTCGTTTGCTGTCTTGTAAGGGCGGGCTTTAGCTCATTTAGTAAAATGTCAAAGTTTTCCTTGGACATTCCAAAAATATCCAAAGAATTTTTCTTCATTGTCCGGTAAGTATCTACATAGAGTATTAAATTCTCCGTCAAATTGACGCCTTCTCCTCTCATTTCCGTTTAATCTGGTTCTTCTTAGTCCTTGCTTCTGCTTCCTCTTCATCAATAGCTATCGCAATAGCAGCCTTCTCCACTAAAGAAAACTCCATTATTATTAAATTGCAATAATTGGGAATTATTCACATCACTACGCCATATTGAAGCGACCGTGGCGGCTTGTAACCCGTTGAACACTCGGTGTAGTATACGCATGCAGCACGGACGGGCTCCGCTCCGGCCCCGCCCCGGCCCGGACACGGCGCGGTCTAATATAAATCATCCCTTAAGGGATGATTTGTATTAGACCGCGCCGTGTCCGGGGCGTGCCGTGTACGCGGCCCGGACGGGGCACGGATTTGAAACGTTACATACATTTTATATGAACCAGTTTATATTACACAGTGCATAATCCGTGTCCCGTCCGGGCCCGGACGACGCTCGTCTACACGACGGTTGCTGCACGGTCCCGCTCCCGTCCCGTCGTAATACGAACACACTCCGTGCTGCGTACGGGCAGTGAGCGACGAATGTTTAGTGAGGGAGCACGTACGTTCTTTTTGTTTTACCGAAGCTCAGTTTCCTTGTGATACGGAAACAAGATTCATTGTTGCATGACTTTGCGGATAATGGACGACGAAAAATTAATAGAACATGTCCGAAAGTATCCTGAGCTTTATGACATGACGCATCAAAAATACTTAGATACAAAGTTGCAACAATACAAAGTCATAATGATTGACGATATAGACACAGTACCTTAGGTTCTTATTATTCTTCTTAGGTTCTATTATTAAAAATGTCCGGCCGGTGAAGAAAAGTAATTGTTAAATTTTTCTCTGACCGCAAAGCATCGTTAGTAGATTGTCCGTGATGTTGTGGTCGTAGTTGATCAAGTATGGACTGTCTTAATTCTAATATAGATTGTTCTGTATCACGTGGTGTAAAAGCCATGTCATTTTGGTTGCTGATTACATGAGACATACCGCTAATCGTTGTTTAGGTTGTATCGGTGTCGAATCTCGTCTGCTGTCTTGTAAGGGCGGGCTTTAGCTCATTTAGTAAAATGTCAAAGTTTTCCTTGGACATTCCAAAAATATCCAAAGAATTTTTCTTCATTGTCCGGTAAGTATCTACATAGAGTATTAAATTCTCCGTCAAATTGACGCCTTCTCCGAAGAGGATGCACGCTGCATTTCCGTTTAATCTGGTTCTTCTTAGTCCTTGCTTCTGCTTCCTCTTCATCAATAGCTATCGCAATAGCAGCCATCTCCACTAAAGAAAACTCCATTTTTATTAAATTGCAATAATTGGGAATTATTCACATCACTACGCCATATTGAAGCGACCGTGGCGGCTTGTAACCCGTTGAACACTCGGTGTAGTATACGCATGGAGCACGGACGGGCTCCGCTCCGGCCCCGCCCCGGCCCGGACACGGCACGGTCTAATATAAATCATCCCTAAGAGGTACTGTTTGCAAGTTCTGACAGATTAAGTTTAGCGATGGGGTCAAAGATATCGATTACAAATATCTGATTCTTAAGAGATTTCGATATTATTTTTTAGTATGTACTAATCGATTACAGTTTAACAGATTTATGTATGTTACTATAAAAGCCCGTGTAATGGCACATCTTAGGTTTTACTAGTAAATCTTAGTATACACTAGAGTTGGATACGAGCGATTTTTGCCTACAAATATTTATTTAAAATTACATTAACTTACATACTTTTAATTTTAATTATGCGTTTTCGTTGAGATTTGGATGTCAGATGAATTTTAAGTATTATCAAACACGCTTGGATTGAAAATTACTCGTTATTAATAAATTCGATTTTTCGTATATTTTAACGATTATTCGTATTCAAATGAATTTCAAAAGCCGCAACACTAAAGGACCTATGTGACTTTCAAATGAAGTTTGAAAATAGACATCTATTGTGTTTAAATTGGTTATTTTGCTTTGTTCCTTAGATTTAAATTTAGTCATAGAGAATTGTATATCTTGCGACAAAGTTAAATAACTCCATGGTTTTACCTAAAAGGTTATTGAAATTGTGTGATTTACGCCTATACAAAGTTGTTTCGGCTTGAAAAGTATGAAACGTCCAACGGTACCTCTTAGATTAGATGGACTATAGTCTATCTAGGTAATCCCAAAATTTGGCATATTTTTAAGATTAATGAAAAGATTCTGTAAATAATAAGTTTTTATTTTATTTCTTTTTACTGAGGTAAATCTAGGTATATGGTCGTCGTGATGATTGAGGAGAGTAAGCATTGAACTAATCTTACCTGTGCAGCTACAATGTAATAAATAAGATATTCACAATAAAATGCTGTAAACAATACACCAAGAAAAAGTAGTAACTTTTTTTTTACACGACGCATTTTTACACAACACTACAATATCATAAACAAGATTTTAGACTTCACATTGCCTGAGTATTTCTGAATTTCTGGCTTATCAGTTCCAAACGGTTACAGATAAGGATAATAATTGACGATAGGAATACAGATAAGTTATTTACGAAACTTACTCAGCTTAAAACTAGTTATCTGCCTAAAAAAATCAAATACCTCCAAAAACACAGGGATGTTGTTTTTGTGATCTCATTCCCGCCAAGACCTGTTTGGATGTTACAGATATATGTATTATATCCTGCAACATTGAGATTATAAGTAAATTACAGAAAACAACATTAGATCCCTTCGGTTCGAGTTTCGACAGCAATAGTTTACCACACCCTGAACTCAATTTTTAATTTTTTAATGTAATATGTAATCGTGTATAAAATTATAAATACCAGTATCCCAAGTTAATATACCATTCATAGATCTTTATAGGAAGTGTTTAATATTGATGCAATGCAATTGAGCAGTGTTTCAGATCCACAAAGCCGGCGGTAATCGAGTTATGACGTGCTCTGACCGCCTTACCGGGAGAAGTCAGCGAGAAGTTTACTTTGAGATCAACCAAGTAACAAGAAAAAAAAAACCTGTCTGCGTGAACATATTTAGGTCCTTAACATTTACAAACCGGCGACTTAAATTTATATAATTTTAATTTACCCAGTCACTCTCACAATTAAGACGATTTAACAACGCCTCCCAAGCCAAAATCCATCAAGCCGTTTATACTACACAGCGTGCCAAAGAAATACATAAACTCGAAAACATAAACCTCCTTCGGGCACAGTCGAGTTAAAATAAAACACAAACAATTTTAGCCTCATTTGTTTTATTAGTAAAAACCTTATAATACAAAATAATTAAACTAATTACATCAATATTTAAAAATAGGACAAGAAGCAAACGGTAGATTTGTACTTTTTAGTGTGACAACAAAATAAAAGTCTCTCAGCTCCCTCAATTTTTCATTTTTGTCTTAAACCGCAGTGTGCCTTCTTATGAATTTGTAGTATCTAATAGTCTAATCAATAATAATAGCAAATAAGCAAAGGATGTATTTTGTCCAAAACTCTTCGGTCGCCATCGAAACCGATGGTTCGTAACCAGTTGAGGAAGAAAAAATGATCTTTATACGAAACCAGTTTCGAACCAGATTTTTTTTTCTTTTCACGAAACGACGGTTACGTACAAGGATTTTTTTGATATTTTCGTTTTGTATTTTTTTGTATCTAAATAGGTAACCACTTTCACGGGACAAACATAATATAACATATCTTAGATATTTGTTATGTTGATATCTTAATTCATTCAATACTGACCAGCTATGGTCAGTATTTCATGAATCATGAGTTTGTATACCAATATTTCCTCCCTTGCATGTAGGTATAACGTCTTCGTAACTAGTAGGTTTCGTAAAAAGAACAAATAACCTTGGTTACGAATCATCGGTTTCGATGGCGGCCGAAGGGGTCCAAACCATCATTTATCACAGTCTCTTACTAGGTAACTAGTGTCTAGTTTACTAAACATAATATATGCAATATGTTTTACGAAATTGATTTATATTTGATGTTCCATATTGAGAAATTCATTTGGAGTAATACTTCACATATATAACCATACAGCAAGTTCTAGAGAATGCATTATATTTAACAATGTAATAAATATTTTTTGGTATAGTAATACTTCAGAAAAATTTAAGCATTTGGTATTATCTAAAAATTGCGAATTTGTGAATACATTTCGTTCTTAAAAGCTAATAATTTCATGATAGTACGAAAATCAATTTTTATCACATGGTTTATCCACATAGATTACCCCCCAAATTCCGCATTATTGATTATTTGTTACTTACGATTCAAGTTCACCAAATTTTGCGGTATGCAAGGGTTGCGGGGGACGTGTCAAGTGCGCTGTGATTGGATATTTAAACTTCAAACATAAAAAGGCACCACCATCATCATAGTGATGGGACGTTGGTCGATAAAATAGTTTGATGAACTGAATTATTGATTTTTATTTTATTCTTAATTTATTGATAAATAATTGATCAATGTTTATTTGATATTTATTAAAAAAATAAAACAATGTATACATACTTCTAAGGCCTCCTGTGAAAAGTCATACAAATAAAAAATCAATACTTTACAGAACAAAAACAAGAGTTTAAAAATTCTAGTTCGCGATCCAAGTGGGCTAGATTAAATTTAAGTACCTTCTTTTGTAGATAAAAACATACACTTTCAATATACATTTAATTAAACAATTAATTTTTGTGGTAAATACTATACTTTTAAAATAATTCTTGAAACTCCTGTGAGTTGTACCTTTTCATTTCAATAATCTATTTAATACATGCTCAAATTATGTGATAAATCATAGAAGTCCAGTTAAATTATGTTGCACCTGTTAGCTGTCTACGTGTAAATTGATATTTATTAAGTACGAATATCTAATAACTCATTAGAATATATTAGTAGCGCAAAGTTGTTCAAAGAAATGATAAAAATACTACCCAAAGATGAGATTTTTTAACTACCTCCGTTTTCATAATTTGGCTGAATGGTATCATCATCATCCTCTCTTTAGAAAGAAGGTTTTGACCTATTTCAAGTTTTCCTGCTGCTTCAGTGCTGTTGTACTGCGTAATTTCTTCCTTAGTCGGCTCTTACGACACGCACGGAATGGTATCAGTTTTCTAAATCTTGTTTTTTTAGATTCGCATTTTTAGTTAGAAATTTAGATTCGGGTCTGTTCAAAGTGATATAACTGTAATTATATCTATATTTACGATAAATATACTGAAAAATAAATTGTGAAAATTAATATAATCGCACTTATACCATGAAGCACGAAATATAATGTGTTCAGGAATTATTTAAAGAGGTTACAACTTGAAATACATCTATATTTACGATATTTTTGCAAAAATCCTTGCATCACTTTGCACAAAATGATACGCCACATTTAAAAAAAAAATGACTTCAATAAAAAAAAAACAAAGGGTGACTAAACAAATATCAACCTATAAATCACAACACTATCGATACACGTGCTGTCATGAGACAAAGACAACTATTGTAAATTACGAAATGAGTCAAGGGACATTTCAAAGACATCAACGGGTGCTTAATTGTTATTTCTTTCGACCATTATAAGTTGAACGCCGGTACAGTTGAAATAGGTCAACTTGACAAAAATATAAATTACTTACCAATGAAATGTTATAAAATCTGTTTGATAACTAGATGCCTTAGCTGACTTGCCACACCATTTCAATGTACAGGAAGCCATTTCTTATATATTTTGATATAAAACTATTTTAAACTGTCAAGAACTTAGATGTGCGTACGGGTCACGACGTCGGTCTTTACTAATGTCGTGCAAGCTACAGCAAGTATGTGTTGCGCGCCTTTGTGGCCCTGTATGCGGCATCTATTAGGGGGTAATCTGTGTTTATCCATTACATACACTAACACGAAACGCTATTGTTTAAATAACTAAGTTAAAATTAGTACTATTTTAACATAAAGTAAACACATACTTAGTACTAATTATTATGACTTACCATAGAACTTACTATTTAATAAAAATATTAAGAGATTAACATTAATTTTTGCCTTTCCAAACATGTCCATGACTGCACAACCTTCATATTGTTTTTGTAATAAATCTTGTATATCTACTTCTATGGTTTCCATTTCAACACCCATGAATTTACCTTTAATGGTGAAGACGCCATTGTGGTCCGTTGGAGTAATTTCAAACTGTACATTTTTGAATTGTGAAGGTGAGAGACCATCTATCTCTAGAAGAACACCTCTCTCTAGTAACTTAGAGCCGGAATATTTAACAGTTAATTTAGATTTCAATTTCTGAATATCCTTGCCTGATCTCCTCAAGCAGGCATGAACACTTCTGAAAATTTAAGAAATATTTTAAATCGTGTGCATTTAGATAGAATTTATTAGACAACTCTGAATCTCTACTTACTTTTTGCCTGTGTGAAGATTAGCTAGACACGATTTTATATATTGATCATAGGATTTGCATTTTTCCTCATAGTACTTTGTTTTTTCTATTAAACTTTGTTTAGTACGTGTCAAGGTAGCAAGAGCTCTTCTCTGAGCTTGCCTATATTTGCCTTTATTACACAAATCCAGAGCAATAGAAGTCACTAATGCTTGATAACCGTCTTCACGCGTCACGTAACCTTCATCTTCAAGCATTTGTAAATTTTTGCGCAACTTAGTAATGTGTTCACGCAGGGTCATTACTTCATCCTGTCGCGCTTGACCGGAATAAATTCGTTTCTGAATTCTTTCATTGTACTGATCTTGTTGTGCTTTGGTAGTACCAATACATAACGCCTCCAAAAGATGCTCACCTTTAAACATCGATACTTTAACAAAATGTTGCAGAAACAAGTGTAGTATTTTGAGAAATAAAAACGCACTTAACTTACCGTTTAAAAATGGAATTACAGACACACATAACTCCTTAGTTTTGATAAAAAGTTTGTTCAAATCAGTCAAATCGTCTGAAGGTGCCTGGAATTTGTTCATAAGAGCCAAGCATACTTCTAATCTGGCATTTTCCTCGGTAGTGTTTCCGATCTGTTTTAAAACAAGTATTAAATAAAATTGGTGATGAATAATAATAAATAAGTTGTTAAACATTTAACTACATTTTGATATAATTATTTCTTCGTAAAATTCTAGACTTTCGCAGTCAAATATCTCCCTTTTCTATAACTACGTTCCCAGTATCTAAAAACACATTAAATAGATATTCCTAGGTAAAAATATTGTTTACTTTAAAAAGTATTGTATAGAAGTTAAAACGTACTGTGTCAATATCTCTTGAAGCTAACTGTCCTACTGTGGGAACATCTCCCAAGTCGTCCAATAGTTCGTTAAGTCGATCACGAGGATCTGCCGCTATAATGTCTTGATATTCAATTAAAAGTGCGTGGGTGTCAACGATTTCCTGAGAAAAGATATACAGCTTAATGATTTATTACTCGAAAAGGTACATTTATGACCATGTATACAGGTCAGGTAAGGTATTTCAAAGGTGATGATATGTAGTCATTGTTGAAAGCAATTCTGCGAGACGATTTTATTTAATCTATCTATACATATAAAAATGTTAAGTTGTTTCGCGTCACGCTTGGAAAACTTGAAACGATATACAACCCCTTTCAAAGATGATTTTTATCTATTTTGTCGATTCAGTTTTGATCCTCATTTCTCATGAATGCAAACGTAATATAACACAGCGAAGCGTGGCAGGGTACAGCTAGTATAATATACTTTTATATTACCTGCACTGTGATATAGATATGGGGATGATGGATTAATGTCGCCTCAGTATACTCATCGACGGCGAAGTATTCTTCCAGTGTAGGACCACGGCAACATCGGCGAAATAGGTCCTTCATTTTTTCATGACATTCCACGATAAATGGATTTAAGCACCGGAGATGACTCGATTCCTCGCCGAACTGCACATAAATACAACATTGGAGATAAGATTACACACATTAATACGTTTCCCATAAAATGCTATAACTATTCGCAACTAGCATTTCGTTAAATTCGATCGTGATCTTCTACTGCTTAAATTTTATCAAGAAGAGCTGTTTTAAGAGAGAGCCAGAGCCTTTTTAAAAAAAAGACATAATTACTATTATTAATAAATACGAGGAATTCACTTTTTTATCATCATCATAATTGAATTTGTACTTACGCCTTTTTTCGCTGCAGAGAAATGGAGTATTTTAGCCACCGAGGCTAAATTCTTGCGTTGATCAGTCGTAAGTGCAGTACCGTTAGGTAAGCTGATGATGTGAAATGCGTCAGGAGCTACTATGGCAGCATTGAGGAACTGATAATACACTAGATTGCCGATTACCTGGTAATTAAAAACTTTATTTATTAATTACAACTATCATATATTTTTATAATACATTTATTAAAGTGATAAAGGAGTTATTTTAATATTGAATACTGATGTTATGTTAATTTGATGATGTTATGTAAACGTTATGTTAATTTACTGACTAAAAGTTTTATCTTTAAAACTACTTTACATATCAAGCTGATATTACCTTCAAGATATCTTTTTCGGGAGTGTGAGGAAATTTTGATGTTAGAGCCCTATGTAAAACTCGTGCCATGTAAGTGATACAAAAAGGAAGAAGTTCTGTAGAATTAATAATTTCATCCAGAAACATGTTAACTACAGTTTTAAGTTGCTTGAGAGCTTTTTCCAACCGCGTCTTTACTTCTGAATAAGTCAAGGCTTCTTCTTGGCTTACAGTGTATGGTAAATTCCTTAAAAAAGATAGCATTTATTCACACATATTCATTAAAAGACAGTAATTCATTCATTAATGATTTTTGATGTGTAACAACGTAATGTGTATGAGAATGGCTTCGTGAAAAGGAATATAGTGTGACAGAAAGCCGTACAAGCGCATGCTACTTGATTTGACCAATGAGCGGACAGCGTTAGATTTGGCCAATGTCCAAGGTGAGTTTTCAGATGTTACACCTCATATGTGACTAATGTTAGCCTCGCCATTTAAACGATACTTACGATATTTTCCCAGATTTCATTTCTGTCTCATTTCTCCAAGCTTTATAAATCTCCACTGGCCCTGTTTCTATGTTCAGCTCTTTATCTTTTAACATTTTATTTACAAGTGGACCAATTATGGTTTGCAGACTGTTTAATCCAGACAGCTGCCTCGATAGACTCACAGCCATTTTAAGTACCAAAGGTGTTGATGCAATTATATCAGATGGTTTCACAACTTTACAGCTTATTTCTTCTTCTAAAGTAAATCGGAATAGTTTTAAGAGTAAATATTCATCTCTAGCATATGCTCCATAATTGTATAAACTAAATATTACATTTTGTAGAAAAACATTCGTTTTATTCTGCGGAATACAGAATAAAAGTTTTGATAAGTAGGTGGGATTTGTTTGCAACTCGTAAAAGAGATGTTGATAGCCATCTAGAAGTCGTTTGCATTCCTTGGTCAGAGACTTCAATCCTTTTACGGCCGTCGAAACGGTGATCAAAGATCCTTTACCGTCAGAATGTTTTTCCAATACTAACTTCGTCATTGAATTATGCTTCACTAAATTATTCAATTTTAACCCATGTGCAGCAACTTCTTGTAAAGCTATGCGGTTTTGAACAAGAAGCCCTATCTTTAGGTCCATATCATCCAACTGCTTAGAGAGTTCCTGGTTCTTTCTGATAGACTGCACGACTTCAGACTTTAATGATTGCAATTCTATTTCCCGATCATAATCTTCTGTTGAAAAATCTAGCATGGGTACAAATTTCTTTACAACTTTTAGTGGTGGGTTGGATGAGTAAAACAATGCCGTGAATGCTTGACGAGCACGTCGACCACGCCAAAGCGCCTGGATTTTTATTATTTTACATTCCTGTAAATAGAGAAAATTAGCATTATTTAAATTACCTAAGATTACTCTTTGTTTACTTATGACATTAGTACTACATTAGTATTATATAAATAAAGTCTTGATAGTGACCTGAATTTTATACCATGCCATTGGATTTTCTATTCTTTCGCGTTTGAGCCTCGCTTCTATAGCTTTCATCTTTATTAAAGTGGCGTATTTCTTCTCAATAACAGTTTTTCTCCACCATGCTTGAATTTTGATAATATATAGTTCATTATCTTCATAAAACTTAAGTCGGTCATTAATAGTTTTCCTTACTAAATACCCTCTACAGTATGCTTGAAGCTTCGTGAATGTGTTCTCCAAAACAGATTGCATATATTTATTGACATGATATTTATTTGTTTTTTCGATTAGAGCTTTAACATCCCTTCTGGTCAAATAACGAGCATAGGGGACAAAATCCTTAGGCGTAGTCCAGTTGTAGGCATAAGATTCCACATCAATATATACTGTATTCCCGGCATTTGTGTGACATACAATCCATGGGCAAATGTTATGTCCTCTCTTCTTTAACGCTTTCGAAAACATTTGAAAATATACTTCTTTGCAGGAGCTCTCAATTACTTTAGCGGTTGTTAAAACTGGATGTGAAAGAGCATTCCAAAATTCTTGTAAATTATTCTTCAAAACAGCCAGGTTTAGTTGGACTAATGACTCGGTAAGGTCTTTTACATTTTGTGATTCCAAACAAACTTCATTGATGGTTTGAATAATATCATCAAACCAAAGGTTTTGTGATTCTTTCCTGATTAAGACTTTTTTTAACATACGCAAACAAAGATGACTCTCCTCTTTTTGTAACTGTGTAGGCAATTTCAAACAGGCGTGCTTTAACAGAATCATTAAAGTATCCTCATCCTCTTCAATTACTGCTTTATTTATATGTTCTATTACAGACACCACTGAAAAGAAAATTTATTGATGAGCATACTCTTTTAGAACATGTGTTTATTTCTATAAATATTCAATATTGTTCAGTGTTAGCAACATTGTGGGAAGATCGCTACTTTGAAAACTATTTACATAATATATTTTTTAGAAGTCTGAAACTTGGCTTGAAGATTTGAATGATTGCTATAAAATTACGAATGTAGCCACTTTGAATTGAAGAAACGTAACGTAGACGTGACGCCGCCCTGGGCTGCTTCTGCTAGGGTGACAGATGGCCTCACCTGTCACCCCCAGGATTGCGCTTATGGAGGACGGAGGTCGTTCTGCGACCTCCGGCGCCTGTGTCGTCTGCGGTACCTGTCCCGCTCTCGAGCCTGGCGGGCCGGGAGAGTTCTAATCCTCTCCCGGTCAAGCTCCGCCATCTCCTTCGCAAGTATAACTTACTCGCAGAAGGCGACGCCAGAGTTTCACGCACTTTCGCGCCGCTCCATGGCCGCAATTATGTTTTTGAGCGAGAGAACTGTCGCACCTTTTTTTTTTTTGTGCGGAACTCCTCTCGGATACTACCCACCAGTGGGTGATTATGTCGGACTCGAACTGACTAAAAACCGCACGCCGTCTCCAGGTACCAGTAGCCGGGGAACCAGGTATACCCTAGAAAGGAAAGCCCTGGTACCCCGACAAACCTTGGGCCATCTACGGCTTATAGATGACCCCTCCTATGTGGGAACCCGGATGTTCCCTTCCTGCCCTTCGCCCTTCGGGCGTGCGCGCTCCGTAGCGCGTCGCGCCATTACCCACCCCGGCCTGCTTCTGCTAGAATGACAGATGGTTTCACCTGTCACCCTCAGGTCTGCGCGTATGGAGGACCTCCGACCTCCGGCGCCCGAGCCGTCTGCGGTACCCCTAGCCCGTTCTCGGGCCTGGCGAGCCGGGAGGGTTCTGAACCTCTCCCGGTCTCGCTCCGCCATCTCCTTCGCAAGCATAACCTGCTCGCAGGAGAAGACGGCAGAGTTCCACGCACTCTCGCTACAACGAACTGTCACCGCTAAAAATTTTTGGCCAAGAGATCTGAAAACTATCATTTTGGGGCTTCAAGATGCCTTTTTTACGAGCTTGATACGAATTTTTTTTTTCTTCCATAATTTTTTGCATAGGTGTAGTTTACAATAGTTTTTACACTCTTATCTTAGATATTTGGAAACAAATAACGAGTAAGTATTTCTAATCAATAAATGTACAATTTTAATACTAGTACCAATTGGTTTACTTACATTCCTCATTGTCATCATCTTTCATATTTACCATATCAATAGAGTCCCTGATATCATCCAAAGTTAACAGGGGACAGGCACACTGTTCTCTTATTTTTACCTCCAGTGCAGTTCCTAAAGCAGCTAAGTAACGACGTCGACAATGTGGACGCAAGCCTTCAAGGTGTATTTGGTTTGAGTTCAGAGTATTCCATACTGCTAGATCATCACCCCTATCTACCGCTTCGGAAACGGTAGCTATAGCCAGTAAATAACTTACGGATGCCGCTATTTCACTTTCATTTAAACTTTTTTCCAATTCATATTTTTCCAATTTCATTTCTTCATACAAGAGTGGGATTGCATACCTTTGAACTTTAAAGTTTAACTCTAAATGGGGATTATTTAAAGCATCATATAAGTCTTCAGGTGTTCCCTCGTCTAAAGCTTTGTTAACATCATTTATAGCCATTTTATGGACCATGTGATCAGAGGATTTACGGTTGCCTTCATTGATAATATTTTGAAATATTTTATGCCAATTTGTAACACTCTCAACGTCAATATCTTTATTGCATTCATTTATTTCTTTGACAACGTCACAGTAGAAATCCACATTTTCAGAATTGTAATTACTTATTTTTACCCAATCTTCATTAAATATTTTATGTATAGTATTAATATCTCCGCTTTGAGATGATGAGCACAAGCTTTTCCATAAATATTTGTAATTAACAGAAGTTATGTGTCCTTGGATTTCAACAAGAGTAAGCAATTCGTCATACTCATCTGGGACGTAGCTATCATTAAGAGAGTGATTATGAGCCGCTTGTATTTTCTCAAATTTTGCAGCTTTTAAAACTTTTTTGTACTGCTCTATTAATCTGTTCTGAACATGTTTTAAATGTAATTGTGGGTTGAGTATAGCTGATGTTATTGATTTATCTTTGTCTAGAAGTCGATTTAACTCAACAATAGCGGTATGTAAACTAGAACCATCATCACTATTACTTTTCGATAATATACCCCCAATCTTTTGGAACATTGGAAGAGGGTGTATGCATTTTTGTAAGTCTTTTGAAACAGAGTCCAATTCTTCATCTATTGAGAAACAAAAAAAATGACATTAAATAGGTATTTCAATAGCATACAATACACAGTCATACAATGTGGTACCTACCAGTAAATATGACTTTTCCAAATACATCATGTATGAGTGGCGCTTTCCCAAGTTTAAACAAATGAGAGCTAAGAGCATGTATGCAATATATTACTCGTGGCATGTTCTTATTGTCGTAAATGTCAGTAGTTTCCGGTTGAAATGTCTGAAAGTAATAATCACGCATAAGCAAGGGCAAGATCTTTAAAATTACTCTTTAAAACATCTCCTCAGAAAATTATAACTTGGATAATTGGCACTCCACGCCAATCATCCAAGTGATGGGGATGAAAAATTTGCCGTGTGGAACGATGGCAGTAGTCTTGGGTAGTACACGTACGATGTACTGATAGGTACTAGTACTGGGTATTGTACTAAAAGTAATGTTGCCGAAAGGCAGCTGTTAATCGGACATTTTGCACTATTAGTACACTGCGTCAACTTCAAGCCAGTACTAAAACTACCTATAGTTTACTCTGTCTACTAGTGTCTTCGTTCGTTCGTTCATTCGTTGTGCGACGTACTATTGTGAAGTACTATTAAGTTAGTGTGAGAGTAAAAGGGACAGCGATACAGGTGTACTACAATACTTTGGGTTTAGATTTAAATTCTTTCAATTTGCAATAACGATTATTTTAGCTTGGCATAGATTCGAATAATAAGTCACGTTACACAGCTGTAAATATTTCTCGCATTCATGATGTCAAATAATGTTAAGTAATCGAGTACGAATCGCGATCGACGGAGCACATACATAAGAATGAGAATATTATTGTTTTTAAGTTTGCATAGGTACGTTATTTATATGGTGTTCTGTCGTATAGCGATAATTTATTGAGTTTTGTGCCTTTTTTGCGGTGTTGGACGCTTACCCGTACCTATATACCTTATTATATTTTTATTTGCGATGATGGACGCTTTTTGTGCTTTTATGTGAATCTGTTTTATAAACTTTGGAACTCTCAACTTTTTAACAATATTAACATTTCGTTCTTAGTAAAGTAAAACTAACAGTTACTAATAAGCCTTATCTACGTCAAAGGTCATACTACCATTAAATATTTAAGTGTTTTATTCTTTTTTGAAATGGCTCCAACAAGACCAAAGCGAAGCCCTCTCTGGTTTCACTATAAGCAGGGTGACAATGAAGCCACCTGTAATTATTGCTTCATAAAACTGAGCACCAAAAACGGCTCCCTGGGAACCTTAAAGAGACATATGTTAACAAAGCATCCAACTATATCGCTGTGCATAGATAGACAACCAACTGCTGCAGACCTCATAGAAAATAATATCACCTCCGTGTCATCCGCCCAATCCAGTTCAACTGCACCAAGTACAAGCTCAGGCCCACCCTTAATGCCGTCATCCAGCTTAATTACAAATTACATGCGGAAACCGCCGTCTGCGCGCAAGGTGGACCAGATTGATAGGCAGGTAGTTGCAATGGTGACTTTTAGTCACCATTGCAACTACCTGCCTCATCATGGTCATCACTCATTTCGCCTAGTCGAAGAACCGGAGTTCAAAAGATTAATAGATATAGTGTCAACGTGTCCCGGTTACCAGCTACTAACTAGGAAAACACTATCCAACACTTTAATTCCTAAAAATTACACGGAAGTATTTCAAAAAGTATTTCAACACTTAATAGAATCATTTGCTATTTGTCTCTGTACTGACGGCCTGGACATCTAGCGCTAGTGAAAATTATATCGCGGTCACAGCACATTTTATTAATTCAAATACTGAGATGCAGTCTTTTTTACTGGGATGCATTAATTATAATCTAAGGCACACAATTGACAATTTAGTTGCCTTCTTACGGCAGATAATGCAAGATTGGCAGATCACGAACAAAATAACATGCGTTGTCAGTGACAACGCTGCTAACATCCAAGCTGCTATCAGGCTAGGCGAATGGCGACCTGTGGGTTGTTTCACAGATAAGACTTTTACTTGGCTAAATGTTGTATATTATTGTTAATATTGAGATGTTAAAGCTGTTGGTTTTCCTTCAAATAAATAAACATGACCTTGGTATTATATTACATACCATAAAACCAAATTTTAGTATTTGTCAGACAGAAAGTCCGAAGGGTTAAACTACATAATTTGGTCTTGATAATATTAATTTACCACATATACAATATTGTTTTGAGGAAAATATAACATATTTTGTTATATTGAATGTTTTATTCTTTTTTGAAATGGCTCCAACAAGACCAAAGCGAAGCCCTCTCTGGTTTCACTATAAGCAGGGTGACAATGAAGCCACCTGTAATTATTGCTTCATAAAACTGAGCACCAAAAACGGCTCCCTGGGAACCTTAAAGAGACATATGTTAACAAAGCATCCAACTATATCGCTGTGCATAGATAGACAACCAACTGCTGCAGACCTCATAGAAAATAATATCACCTCCGTGTCATCCGCCCAATCCAGTTCAACTGCACCAAGTACAAGCTCAGGCCCACCCTTAATGCCGTCATCCAGCTTAATTACAAATTACATGCGGAAACCGCCGTCTGCGCGCAAGGTGGACCAGATTGATAGGCAGGTAGTTGCAATGGTGACTTTTAGTCACCATTGCAACTACCTGCCTCATCATGGTCATCACTCATTTCGCCTAGTCGAAGAACCGGAGTTCAAAAGATTAATAGATATAGTGTCAACGTGTCCCGGTTACCAGCTACTAACTAGGAAAACACTATCCAACACTTTAATTCCTAAAAATTACACGGAAGTATTTCAAAAAGTATTTCAACACTTAATAGAATCATTTGCTATTTGTCTCTGTACTGACGCCTGGACATCTAGCGCTAGTGAAAATTATATCGCGGTCACAGCACATTTTATTAATTCAAATACTGAGATGCAGTCTTTTTTACTGGGATGCATTAATTATAATCTAAGGCACACAATTGACAATTTAGTTGCCTTCTTACGGCAGATAATGCAAGATTGGCAGATCACGAACAAAATAACATGCGTTGTCAGTGACAACGCTGCTAACATCCAAGCTGCTATCAGGCTAGGCGAATGGCGACCTGTGGGTTGTTTCGCCCATACATTAAATTTGATAGTGCAGAATGGCCTTGAAGTAATATCTGAGATTGTAGGTAAAGTCAAATCCATAGTGGAATACTTCAAAAAAAGTTGTACGGCGTAAACGAAGTTAGAATCGGTACTTAAACAAATGGGTTTACCGATATTAAAATTAAAACAAGAATGTCCAACACGTTGGAATTCGTGCTACGAGATGCTAGAAAGGATTATTAAAATATAAAAGATTATTAAAAGATGCTGTTATAAGTACTTTAGCTCTCATAAGAAATGAACTCAATCTTCAAATTGCAGATTGGGAAGTACTTGAAACCGTAGTGGCAATTTTGAAACCATTTTTTGAAGTGACAGTAGAAGTTAGCAGCGAAAATCATGTCACTCTGTCAAAGGTATTGGTATTTACACAAATAATGTCGAAGCATATTATAAAAAACCTTGCAAAAACATATAAGCACCCCGTGATACCTGAGTTACTAAACAAATTGAAAACGCAAATAGAAGCGCGACTCTTCGACCTAGAATCGAACATTTTATATGCCGATTCTACGATCCTTGACCCTAGATTTAAACAAAAAGGGTTTCGTACTCAAAAAAGCTACGAAAACGCGATTGAGGATATAAGACGCAGGATCAGCCGTATACAAATTAATTCTACGGTTGTCTATGAAAATCAAGTATGTTTAAATACAAATTCCGCACCCGTAGATTCGGACAGTATGTGGGCTGACTTTGATACTGACATGAATCAAGGGGTTCGCCCAGAAAATTCTGTTGCGGCTGGAATAGGAGAGCTTGACAAATACATGAAAGAGGAATACCTACACCGTAAGGAGGATCCCTTAAAGTGGTGGCACAGTCGGAAACACATTTATCCACATATTTATCAATTAGTTTTGAAAAGATTGTGCATCCAGGCAACATCAGTGTCCTGTGAACGTATATTTTCTGGAGCAGGGCAAGTAATAACCAATAGGCGTAAATTATTAAAACCATCAAAAGTATCACAGGTGGTATTTCTGCATAGTAATATGTAAAAAATAGGTATAAAAAGAAAAAAAGTAAAAAAACAATAAAAAGTTGAAAAGTATACTTAATAAAAGAGGTTCTCTTTGAGGTTAGGCATAACGGCACTAAAAGTTCGTTGGCGCATATTCCATGCCTAGTTCAGCCGCACGCCTTGGCATCAGTGCCTGTAGGAGAGTGCTTCGCCGCATTTAAAGTGTGATTGCGAAAATAAGTCTCAAAATGAGTCACTCAGAGCGTCACAGTTATTTAGAATAGAACGTCGTCACAGGTGACATCGGTCTTTACAGTATCTAAATTCTTACTTTTATTCCATTATATATTAAAATATTTATTACACATCATTACATTAATCAGTGACAATATATTCTAGCAAAAAATACAGTACAACAGTAGCTAACTATAGCTAGCCAAAAGTAGGTTTTGAGACCGGTTTGCACAGCTGCAATGTTTAGCTACAGTAGCCATCGCCTAATTTCTCTGCGGGTAAATAAAGATCTGACATTCATAGAACTTAGTAATGAAATTATAAGTGTTGTAAAGAATTTCTATTATTTAAGTCAAAGAGAATTCTCCACTAGCTTAAGTGTCACCTGATACTTATAAGGTCGATAAACGCCTTTTCTTTTATCGACCTTGTAAGTATTGATGATGGGCCCTTTTTACTTACACAATAGATGTAATCAGGTCTGACATTATGTGTGGCAAATCCTTAAAGACGCAATTAATCGAAAATTTGTGTTTCAAAAATTATCACCAATAATACCACTTGAAAGTTTGGATGTATGAATGGATGTTTGTCATTCAATGAACATTCATGAACAGAATAGCATGTTTAGTTAAGAGTTGTAGTCTGAAATAGGATATAGGCTACTTTTTATCCCAGAAAAATTAATTGACAAAATTAACATTTATACAAGTGAAACTGCATACCAAAAGCTAGTTTTTCAATCTTATAGGCCTAGAGTAGGTATTTTCTTAATAAACTTTGTTCAACATCACAAACAAGTTATAATATTATAATACATGAATTAACATTAATGACAGTTGCTAAGTCAAGATTCCTTTCTTCCTTTAATGTAAAAAGTAATAACACACATATAACTTATGTGATACACACCTAAATTGTCCCTAAAAATTTGTATAAAATAGTCTTCACAGATAAGACTTTTACTTGGCTAAATGTTGTATATTATTGTTAATATTGAGATGTTAAAGCTGTTGGTTTTCCTTCAAAATAATAAACATGACCTTGGTATTATATTACATACCATAAAACCAAATTTTAGTATTTGTCAGACAGAAAGTCCGAAGGGTTAAACTACATAATTTGGTCTTGATAATATTAATTTACCACATATACAATATTGTTTTGAGGAAAATATAACATATTTTGTTATATTGAATGTTATTCTTATATTACTACTATTACACATGAGGTAATGGATGAAAATTTAAGAGACATGGGACCTATGGTTGAGAATTTTAAAAATATTATTAAAGTTGATGGTGGTGAAAGCTGTCTGAATCATATGTTTTAAGCAGAGTGTGTAATAAGGACAATATACTACTTACCACAGGAAGTTCAGTCTTTTTAAGAACTTGCAGAAATTTGTTTATATTGTCAGTGTGTTTAAACTGTAAACCCATAATCTAAAACATAACAAAATAATTGTGATGTAAAATAATTGATTACAGACTTAATTGAAATGAAAGAAGGTTGATAATTAACAATTATATTTACCTTGTATCGTTTTTGGTCTATATCGTAAATTTTGTTTATAGGGAGTAATTCAGGAGAAATAAAGTTACCAAGCTTAGCCAGATAGACCCCATTTCGTAAACTTTCTTCAAACTCAGTGGCAGCCGGCAATTTTTCTTTTAAACATGCTTCTAACCAAGTCTTGGCTTCCTCTAACCGACAAAGGTATTCATAAGCGATGGTTCTTTGTCTTATAATATCCATTTCTAACCCTGTCTTGCGAATATCAGAGTCACCTAGATTTAAAAAGAATAACATGTGAGTGCATATATGTTAAATAATGTAAAAAGTATAATTATTAGTTGGGTATTTGCAACGATGTTTAACACTAGTTTTGTTTATTACTTACAGTCGTCAATTTTACCAATATGTACTTCTTCAGAATCCTTTCCCATTTTGTTCGATAATTTACGACTTTGTTTAATGCTAGTAATAACATTTAAAAAAGAATTATCGGTCGCACTATTATAATAGCAATTATTGTTGTAAATTTCGCAAGTCTCACTTTCAAAACAACACAGGCGGTTATTTTTTAATTTGAAGTTTGACAGATAACATTGCCTTTACACACACACACAGAGTATTATATGGGACAAAATCACAGTGAAGTGAACTGGTAATGAACGGTGATTTATCATTCGATTTTTTCGGACGAAGGTTAGTGTTACTACTTACTCACGCTTTGTTGCCAATAAGCTGTTTTCAGACGATGCATAAGGATCCTATTTTGACTATTTAACAGTAAATCTAGTAATTATTTATTAGCTAGCTAGCTAGCTAGAGCTCCCAATCCCTACATAATAAATAACAAAATACCAGATAAACTGTTAAATAGCGTTAACCTACCTACCTAGTGACCTTACCGAATGATAAATCACAGTTCGCTGTGATCGTAAGATACTCTGTGGTAGACACTGTCTGTGGGGTATACGAAATGCATAATATTGTGCCAAATCATGATTACCTACTTTAGAATGTTGGTACGAATGATCACTGTCTCTAGATTGACTCCAGAATAAACTCTCGTGTAGGGCCAACCCTGGATTCAGAATCAATGTCTTATACATGCATTGTCATCGGAATTACACCAACATTAAGAGAACAATGGCGAATGCGTTGTTGAGTATAATTTGAGCTTCTTAAAATGTCATTCATAGAAACTAATTCTAGTAAATATCTACGTTTTTTGAAACTATCGTTTAAATCAGTAAAATCTCAGGAAAAAAAAAATTAAGCTTATTTGATTATTTTAATTTCCTTTGTCAGTTTAGTGTTACCATTTTACAGCCATTTTTTTTTAAGCAGTGGAAATACTGTCCAATAAAGAGTCGCAATATGGTAATCAGATAATAGTTTTATATATAATTGTAAGTACTAAATCAGTAAAGAATGTAGTTTTAGTGCATCATTAAACGCATTATTTACCTACTTATTTGAAAATCCTGTAGTGGAATATAAGGAAGAAAAAAAGTAGCAACTGCAAGCTGAAAAAAGCATAGGTTTTTTGACAGCTCTTGACAGACATTTCGCTCTATTTTTTAATTTTAATTTTTTCTTTAAGTCAACGTCTGGCGCGACAGATGGCGAATGGCCGCCACCGATTATATTAGTTTTGGTTTAGAATTTATTACATGTTGAAGTAGGTAATAAATTAGGAAAAAGGAATATACTTATGTATGATATTATAAATACAGATGTAGATAAGTATAAGATGATTATTTCATGCATCAGACACATTAAAAATGACATAAAATTTTCAAAAGTTCTAATGGACTATAATAAATATTTATTTTTATTTCAACGGCGAACATTCAGTTATAATTATCAAATATTTATGTGAAACAATCATTGAGTTAAAACAACACTAGAGAAGCAAACCTCATTATCACACGTCGAAAAAAGTGTAACCACTTTTGAACTTTGACGACGTAGCTTTGATACCACTAAACATTTGACAGTAAACATATTTATGTCTCATTTACACGCGAAAAAAGAACAATACCATCGCTCGGATTAGACAAAGACAAAGACATAACTTTACGATGGTGGGCCAGTGTTGACTACCGTATGAAATTTTACCCATAACAACCAAGAAACAATTTTTTTTTAAAACAATTTTGTAATAAAATAAATTAATTTAAATATTTTAAATAATATATTTCGAATTGAATGGAATAGGTATAAATAATAAAATAACTAGAAATATTTGGTTAAAAGGGTTTATATTCAGTGTAAAATCAAACTCCGCTATGAAGCATCAGTTTTGTATACAATTGTCTTTTAGACTCTTTTTTATAAGTTTGTGTGAATATTTTACTTTCATGATACAATCTTATTTTTACCTATGTATAAATAATGGCATTTAATAGTAAAAGTGAATGATCAACTTGTACTGATAATAAATAATCCCCAGGGTGTATTGCAAATTCTTTTAATATTTTAAAATACAAATAAAAAAAAATATAATATTTTTTTTTTTTTTTTGCTTTTTATATTTTTTTATTTATATTTATTTACTTTTTATTTTATATATATATATTTTTTTGTACAATTGTTATTTATATTTGATAATTAATTAAGAAAAATGAATGAATGAATGAATTAATTCCTTTATACACAAGTCTCCAGCACTGCGAGCTTGGCAGAAGGTGAACGTTCAACGGGTCTCTAAAAAAGTGATCAATTCAGCCCTAACAACTACCGTTCTTAGTATATTTTATTATTATTGACAAAATGTTTAAAAACAGTAAAAAACATATTATTTCATAAATTATAAATTCTCCCACTAATGTGGGAAAACAAAAATGATTTTTTAATGGTAACACTGATTCTAAATTACAATTATCAATGTTTTATTTCAATTATAGCCTTATTTACGATATTATCAATACAAAAACCATAAACTTACACGTGATAAGTAATTCCGCATGATTTATTATGGTTTTGTGACCTTGAATCGCATTCTTTCACTACGCATTTACCCATTTTGGCGATTGTTACTGTCATGTGTCGCTATGTTCAACTCGGTTGACGCCACATTGAACACTGAATTGACGTTTGCTACGCATATGCTTGTGGACAGATGGGCAGTAGCAACGATTTTAGGCGGTAATTACTCATCTATGTAAGTATTATATCAATGGAAACAATACAAAAACCAATTTGAAAAGTCAATAGCCATAGACAAATTGATAAAATAAAGGAAACATAATGCAGCTAGATTAAAAAAAAACTCTTTTATCTGTGGACTCTTTTAAAAATAATACACAGATAAAAAAATAAGTATCTAAAAAACTCAAATGCTAATAAGTTTTTTCCTGGCCTTTCTCAAATAAAATTGTATGAAAAAAATGTATAGAGGAGTTTTTCATAATTTTTTCACTACAGGACGATACAATTTGATCCCAAATATTATTTTTTTAAGGAGACTCGTCATTGTTCTTTAAATTCCTTAGAACAAAAGTATGTAGGTACATAAAGCATGTAACAAACTTGTACCCCTTCAAAATTACCACTAATCATAACATTAATATAGGGAGAAGTCATTAATTTAACAAAACACCTTGCTAACTACTGAAAAATAAAATCAAAATACTGACTAAAATAAATATATAAGATTTATATTATATTATTATTTAACTAGCTTTAAATATAACTTTAAATCTCTGAAATCTACTAAGATATTTACCTTACTGATATGCTGTAAAAGGCAATTTTGATCTAAATTAAATACACAACGTATCTAAAGTATTTATTTGAATAAGGAATACTACTGTATTGTTCAAAATAGCTCCTAAATTACCCTTTTTTTTATGTACAAATTGGTTACTGTGGGTTATACTTAGGAGATAGACATATACTATTGCCAAATTTTTTTTACCGTACATCATTTTAATTTATCTTGTAAGGTTTAGTCTGCGTTTGCAATGTAATCGCACAGAAACAGGTTTTTTACGACGAGGTTTTTTTTACGAAATCTTTAAATTCTCAGATTTTCTCTACTATAATATGCATTCACATATAAACCTTCCTCTTACTTCACTCTCTATTGGTGAACACAATTGAATCGAATCGAAATCAGTTTATACTATGTTAAGGTATCCCACTAAATAGGTTTGGCTACTGCTTGACCTAAAGCTCTGACGGCCGCAGAGATGCTCAATATTTTTATACAAAAGGATTTGAATACAAAGGATGGATTTAAGCGTGATGTCTCATATTTACGAACATTAACCAAAATAAATTCAAACTTACAGACTTAGAATTCATGATAAGGAATATGGTAATTCCTTGGATTTTATTAAAAGATAAAAATGATTACTGTGGTCCATCCTCAGGAGACAGACATTTATAATCGCGGACTTTTGATTTTTGTAGACCTAAGATATACATTTCCGTTGTACATTATTTTGCTCTATCTCGTAAGGTGTAGACAGCGTTTGGAATGTAAGTAGTAATGTCTTTAAAATTCTCGGATTTTCTCTACTATAATATGCATGTATCATACATATAAATCTTCTTCTTGAATACCTCTCTCTATTGGTGAAGTCTGCATCAAAATCCGTTGCTTAGTTTAAAAGATCTAAGCGTACTATAGCAAGAAGTGTCTAAAAAACTATAATACTCAGATTCTTTAAGAGAAAAATATGTAATTGCAATGATAAATATACATTTATATTAATTTAATACAAACATTAAGCGGAGACAACTTAAATATCTTCACTAGTGACTTCTGTATTATCTTATCACACAGCCGGTCTAGGCCTGCCCATCAAATATTTCACATCATTAATTTGGAATATAAAAATACCAACTCAGGACAACACATACTAAGATTTAGTGTTATTTTGAACCGAAGACACTGACAGACAAAGAACAATACCATATACGATACCATTTTGTACCTATGATTTGCTAATTTAATAGTTTCCTTTATAATAAGTACTTTGAAAATATGTTTAGTTTCCCTTTTCAAGGCTAAACTGAAATGAAGAACATAAATATGTTTGCTTACTTAGTTGTATATTACGAAATTCTTTAAATTCGGTCCTTATCCTTTGAAGAGCTATGTACACATTAACGGTGCATCGTCCAGCTTGAATTCCATGCATCTTCTTATCATCATCATCAGTCTATCGCTATTCACTGCTGAACGGAGGCCTATCTTAGCTGGCAGCGGATGGATGCGGATTGTAGTAGGTATAGTATTATATTACTATACTAACTCTGAAATAGAATACTCTAAAATTTATAATACTATAAAGTTTAGAGTATTCTGTTTCAAAGTTAGCGATGAAAACTCGGACCGGTTTATTTTCACGGTGTGGTCTAGCCCTTTACGTCACTTTTTTCATATTATGTAAAGAAAATTTGACTCTACATACGTCAAAAACATTTGAATGTTATTGTTTTTCAAACGTTGTTTTAGTGACAAGATAAACTAAACTGATATAAATGCTGAAACAAAGTAGGCCCTGCTTTGAAGAAGCGGATGCAGCTAAGGACGAAGCTGAACCTGAACCTATACTAGTCTGCAAATGTCTTATAGATGCAGAGTCATCAGAACAAACTGTTGTGTCACCGCGAAAACAGAAAATTTTATCCACTGTTGCAAGAACTGAAGAATATTTACGCGTGCGTCGCATTCCTGAACTAATAAGATTCCTTATTACTAAAGTAATTGCCGATGGTTCTAATCGCCCCATCGCTTTCCTTGAGAATTTATTAAATGAAGGTATGTTATTTCGTGCTGGACATGGATTGGCTCCGGTTTTGTATGAAGACAGGTGTGTAATTATTTTAAAATATTATCAACTTTGACTTGTATGCCGGTTGTAAATGAAAGTATTAAAAACAAGTTTCAATACAATTTGTGACACAAACCAAACAATATAAATAGTATGTACCTACAACCATTTTCATCCGACTGTCAAGAGATGAAGACCTATAGATGTAAAGCCTCGGCAGGCCTGTGGGTCTAGTGGTTGGTGACCCTGACTGCTAAGCCGGAGGTCGTGGGTTCGATTCCCACCCAGGACAAATATTTATGTGATGAGCACGATTGTTTGTTCTGTGTCTGGGTGTAATTTATCTATAATATATATGTATTTAGAAATACGAGTATATAAGTATGTTTATCAGCAGTCTGGTTATCATAGTATAGGCTCCGCTTAGTCACGGTACTATTATAATACAGTACTCCAACTTCATACAAACGGACGAAATGCGAGCTATACCTACGCGCCTCGATCTCGGGGTGCGCTCGGGGCGCAGACAGTCACGGCTGTACCGCAGTGTCGAACGGACTGTATGTTGTTTTTTTAACAATAACCGCGCGATTTTTTCTCTAAAAATCAGTTAATATGACGAGTAGGAAATATTGTGCTGTTTTTGGTTGTATGAATTCGTCAATAACGCATCCAGACATAAGTTTTTTTAAATTACCTGGAAACTCTGAAAGGTAAGACTATAAAATAATTTTACTTACTAGTAGGTAGGTACATAATGTGTGTCTTTTTAATGGATAAGTATTTCCTTTTATCTCACTAAAAAAAAGGTGTTTGGATGAATAAATAAAGCAAATAGAGTAACGGAAAGTTATTGAGACGAGTGAAATAGGGAGTTATATGCGGTTCTGAATGAATCATGATACGGTGGGTACCTACCTACTTACGCTTGTGTTAAAACTTCGGTGCATGTGTGTTTTGTTACTTTGCATAATTCAAAGTAAAGACGTGGTATTTTATTATTAATAATATTTGTTTATTATCTGTGTGTATGAATAATACTAAAAAAAGTTTTTTACCGTCTGTGTGTCATTAGACAGTTTTCGAAATTTTAACAAAGTGTTTCTGCTGCTACTATAACAACATATACCACTAAACACTGGTTTTATTTTCTCGGTATTAACAACAACAGCTAGACTCATATATAATATTTAGATGTTTGAGGGTTGTGATTTTAAAACATTCGTAGTCAGCTGTTCAGCTTTTTAATAATTAATTAATTGGTGACCAAAGAATTTTTGTTTTGAGTTGTTGCGAGTTGTAGGTAGGTACCTAATTTATAGAGACGTTAATAAGGTGAGATAAAAAGTTACTTACTCGTCAGCTGTTTCTTGCATTCTAGTTGAGTAGGTAGGTGTTGGAGTTTCTAAGGATTGGAGTTTTGTAACGCGTAAGGAGAAAGCACATTTATTTTATTTTATAGAAGGATTTTTTTCGGTCGTAAATTTATAAGCCCGATTTGTTTTTCAAACAAAAACATGTTTTTTTAAATTAAATCTACCAATCAAAAAACAACACGCATTTTTATTGAACACTTCCGATTCAATATACAAAGTATTTGTTTTATTTATATAAAAAGGATATTTACAATCACAAATCTAAATAGAAACAGAAAGTAGGCAAATATAATTAAAATGCTGAGGACGGGCAGCCCTAACGCATGTTTACGTACCGCGCGGCTGTAGGCATTTATTTCTATCATGCGGCCGAGTTACACTACTGTATTATAATTGTACCGTGGCTTAGTTTGGGATCAGATTGCCGTGTGTGAGATGTGTGAGGTTTATAAAGCCTGTTCAAATTCAATTAAAACAATCCGTTGAAAACGGTTGGTGTTGATGACTATGTTTTTCTTGATTTTACCGAGGTAGGGATATGACGGAGTACCTATAAAGTATGTAAAGATTTTTTATTTGTGTGATATACTGATACACTTACCGGGTTTAGTTCTAGTTGGTCCGTCCGACCAAGCGTAGGTATTATCTACCTAAGTTATAAAAACTCTATGGATAAGTTAAAAACTCTGTGTTAGTAATATAATACCATATCTATACAAATAAATAAACTTGGAGTGTCTGTTTCTAATATTAAAATAACCGCTTTTTACTAAATGCATATGTATGTTTACAGGGTACATATGCAAAAATAACATTTTTTACAATTTTTGTGTCTGGAACGGCTGGACCGATTTCGACGGGACTCTCACTGGCAGATAGCTGATGACATAAGGAGTAACTTAGGCTACTTTTTTTTAGACTAGCTTCGCCCCGCGGCGTTGCCCGCGGTTATAATAACAAACACGGGTAACACTGCGGGTCTCAGCTATCATAAATAAGTATAGGTAGGTTTACTTACATACTTAAGTTTTCGTGTCAATTGCAAAAGTTTTGTAGATGACAGCAAAGCAAAGTTATTTCGTAATCAGAGGGTTATGTTATTAGCAGATCAGGCTAGGTATGGATTAAGAAAATGTATTGTGGGTAAGGTACTTTCTAATGATTTTCTATAAACTAATTAAAAGAAAATATGACATCAGGTGACCAAAAATTGCCCACAATGAAGTGTAAAACACAGATCTTTTATTTTTGCAGGCGAATTTTCAACCGTTTAAAACGATTTATTTGGCAAAATATTGGTTTGAAACGTTTTAAATCGGTTATTTTACATCTATAGTCTAACCCCATAGTCCGCTGTTTAGATCATTTAAATTCTTGGCTACTACTGGATAATTGTAATAAATTCAAAAAAAGGATGTTCAAGATGGTTCTCTAATCTAGACACAGGGCCAGATTAACCATTAGTTAGAATGGGCAACTGCCTAGGGGCCCCGCATCGGTAAGTGAGCCCGTGCCGCGCCGCGCAATTTGCAGTGTGTGAAAAATCGAAAATGTTCACGCGGGTAAAATTTAATTGGAAAATTTGTATCCTCAAATACAATAGGTTGTGTCATATAAACATGCTGTCAGTTGATAAAATACTTCATATTTACAGAATAGAACTATTCATAATAATATCGAGTAGTAGGTTTAATAACAATTATGTTTAACGCAGTGTATGAAAAACCTAAGATTGAAATCGTCGTTTGAATTAATTTTTGAAAATATCATCATCAGCCTATCGCAGTCCACAGCTGGACATAGGCCTCTCCTATTACTATTTTTGGGCTTCACGCATCCAGCTCCTGCCAGCCATCTTGCGCAAATCGTGACTCCACCTGTCCTGTGGGCGTCCTACACTATGTTTGCCGAGACGCGGTCTCCACTCAAGAACTTACTCACTTTTCCCCAACGGTTGTCGGTTCTGCGGCTAATATGGCCAGCCTACTGCCACTTCAGCTTGCTGATCCGGTAAAAAAATATCGGACATTCTACAAAAAAATATGGTATATGGTACAAAAAAAATATGGTAAATTTCCCGAATGTAATAATAGCATTGCAAATATACAGGAGTATGGTGATATCATACGCAACATGTGAACGTAACATTTCAAAATTAAAACTACTAGAAAACTGTATTTGTTATAAATGTCTCAGAATAGTTTAAATTCACTGTCGATAGGGAACGTGTCACGATTGAAAGTGATGTATTTGAAAAAGTCACTGGTCAACTATCAAAATGTTACGAATATTTTGTAACCAAAATAGTTAGTTAAGTACTTATGAAAACTATTTCCTTGTGTTTATTATTTTTTATTACATTTAACAACAATAAAGTTAAAGAGCTGATAATCTTGAAACGGGTGAAAAGGGGCCCCGAAGATTATATTGCTTACGGGCTTTCACATGGTTTATGCGGCCCTGTTTAGACATAGCATCTCCATAAAACATATGGACATTTTGGATTGATTCAGCTTTTAAAGTTTCATTTAATATTTGTTATCTTTTTCAGGCACTTACGAGCTGTTATTAAAAGTTTTGATCCAGGTAACCGAGGTTGGCTAACACCTGGACAAGTCCGCAGAGCATTTATTACTCTTGGCCTTACTCTTACCGAGACTTTAAATGAAAGGATTCCAACTGATGTCCTTTTCGAATTACTGAAAACTACTCAAGAAAAAGAGCTTTTTAGTTTATTGACAGCTGGAGTTTGTCTAGAGGATGATTCCCGTGTAGATATCGAATTAAAAAACGGCGGATCTACAACAGATTAATCAGTTATGTCATATTATTTCTTTTACTTTATTTGTAATGCGACTAGCCATTAAAATATATTTTTTAATAAAAAAAATCTGGAAAATATACCCTATGTTTAACCTCGCCAAATAAATATACCTAAATGAAAAACACATTTGGATTTAATATGCAACGATTAAACACAGTAGTTTTCAATAAGTGTATATTATTTTATTTTCCAACAAAACGATACGCATATAATAGGCTAGTTTACTCAATTTGCAAACTTGGATTTTATCCCAAAAAGCCTACATTTTAAAGAAAAAGCAATAAAAGCTATTTCACGTTTATTTTTTATCTGTAAAACTGACTATTTTAGCAGTCTAGTACACAGTGTATAATTTTTATTTAAGCCAATATATTTTTATACCAGGCTACCGCAGCGCCCTTTATTTTATTTTTTTTGTTGACGGAGTGGAAAATCCCTTCGGATCTCCGGCTCCTTAGGGATATATATATATATATATTTTTTTTTAAATTGCCAGGAGTATGTGGTGTTTCCACTAAAAACACTACGACGGCCAGCCTTAGGCACCCTGCTCTAGGAAGAACCCGGGCCATGTGATTTCAGGTCCGCCCAGATTGACGCCGCACCTAACTAGGCTCCATTTCAGGGAAAGCCAGTGGGGACTCCATGCCTATCAGCCTATTCAGATGTTGCGACCTGATCACATTTTCAGTGCGATCAGGCTGCCATCCTATCCCCTACCACAGCAATTAATCTCGCGCGACACCAGAGGTCCCCACTCTCTGGCGGCTCGCGGTCCCGTCGGCTGCTCATTCCGCCTTCTTCGCTCGGGATCGGCCCTATCCCGATCCCGTTAAGCGGTCCCTTTCTGGAGCATTACAGTTTCACAGAAAGAGACCACTGACCGCAGCGCCCCTAGAGAAGGTTCTCCTTGCCTCTACCCTCCATACATTGAAGTAATTAATATATTACACGTGACTAACAGGCTCCGTCACATTGCATCGATTAAAGTTTTAATCTGTATAGTTATGTAAATCTGTATGTATCAGTTATGTTTTCAAATTGAGAAATAAAAATTGAAATCACCATAGAGATAAAAGCATAGAAAAATAACACTAGGTACAGCTTTCTGTAACTGGAAGCGATACAGGAACGAAAGGGGTGGATGCCCGATGCTTCCCTTCGTCTCCATTTCTGAACCATAGATATAGAATACTAATAGATTGGCTATGCGGAAAAGAGACAATACGAGTTTACATGTGTTAGAGCGCGACAGATAAACGAGATCAAACACCGATACGCTATGAGCCTGTGTCGTCCTAGCGCCCGTCGAGGTCGAAACATTATTGTTGTTATTTTTTTGGAATCTTGAGTATTTTGTTGTGGTTTATTATTTATACAGCGTGTTTTATCATGGTGACGTGTGCAGTACCTGGATGTAATGCTTCCAAGAAAGAAAATCCACAAAATCTTTCATTTCACATGTAAGTAAATAATGCCATATTTGCATTTGCATTGCATATAAATTAAGATGCTTTCGCATCATACAAAAAGAATGATTAAATACGTGAATTTATGTTTTTTCTAACCTCACACACCTAGAAGTTTGAAGTGACAATGTTGATAAAATTATCGATAATAGTCACAGTGATCAAATAATAATCATCAATTAATTTTATTAAAACCATTCTATACTGACTATTTGGCATTTTAATTATGTTAATTTCATATGGTTACAGATTTCAACAAAATGCAGACATTCGAGGAAAATGGTTAAAAATGGTGAACAGACCAGATTGGGTCCCGAAAAAACATTCAACTATTTGTAGCAGGCTAAAACATTAACATCTGAGGTTGAAGTCGAGGATTCTCGATTCATTGAAGGAATGCCATGGATACCGGAGGGCATGGAATCAATAGTAAAACCGATTGTAGAGTACATTGTGGTAATATAGTAAAAAAAATCTCGAAAAAAATTACTTGGGAACCTTGCCTGACCGCACTTCACGGTGAAATTCAAGAATCTTCTTTTATATATGTGACGGATTTAGGTGGGCTAAATTATCCTAATAATATTATCTCAAGATGTAATAGAAATAGGCTTAAAATGTGAACGAGTTTTCCGAACATATATAAAAGACAAATGTGTCAATAAAGTTTCCAAAAAAATGTTGCTAAATGCCTTATTCTATGTCGGGAGTGTTTCAGGAATCTTGATAGCCATATGTATGATTCGCCAAACCTCGTAAATCATAAATATATATTAATTCAACTGATTATAGAAATATATGTGTCAATCAAAGAAAGTTTGAGACATTTCTATAATAAATTAATATTGTTCGGAGGAAAATGAATTCCTATACATGCTTACAGTGCTGTTTTTGATTAAATATTGTTTGTGGTTAAATATTCATGTTTCTAAAACAACGAGCAATAAGTATTGCGTATATTAAACATTTAAACAGTCCAATGTTTTTGTGTATACACTAAAAATTATACCAATAAAGATTTGCCTTTTTAATTTTGTAGTTTTCTTGTACTTATTCGCACTAAATACGTAACCCTGAATCCCTGTGGATTTATTTATACCAGTTGGTACAGGTTATCGAAAAAAATAATTTTGCATGGCGCATCACTAGCACGTTAGACACACATGCAAATTTGATGCACACCATTGCATTTCTTTTTTGGTCTCGCTTATTGAAATGCACAACCAATCTATGGGATTCTATATCTATGTTCTGAACTATAGGGCATCCATATCTCTCGTTGCCTATATTGCAAGATTGGGGCTCTTATTCACTGTATTCTTATTTCTCTATGAAAATAACAGTTTTACATTTGACAGTTTTGACTTGACAGATGACACTATGTACGTAGTTGTGGTAAATTCTGTAACTAGGTATACATGTCTTTGTCATTTTGAACTAGATAATACTTTATCAAAATGTAATAATTTGAGGCAACTGCTTTATAAGTTTGGAACAAGGTGTTTAGATGTAGTTTTAAACGTTATGATGGATAGAATGTTTTTTATTGGTATCATAATTCATTTAATCTTTTTATTTTCTATCTTTGACATATATTTTAAATCACCTATTGTAAAGAATGTGGATTCCTATCAGCCTCAACATGAAGCACTTGCCGAACGTCTTGTACTTTTTATGGTTGATGGACTAAGAGCAGAATCGTTTCTTAATTATTCAACAATGCCTTATTTGAGGTATGTAGAACAATTCTTTTTTTAAATTAGGAAGTACAGAAACATTCCTTATTCAATAAGTTTTGTATCTAGTAAATTTACTATTGTTTATTTTGAGACAGACATGTCCCAAAAAAAATATAAACTTCAAATATAATAAAAACCATTTAATTAATTAATATTTCAGAGAAGTGGCAAATACTCATGGAAGGTGGGGAATATCAAATACTCAGGTACCTACAGAATCACGTCCAGGCCATGTGGCGGTGATAGCAGGCTTTTATGAGGACCCTTCTGCTGTTGCTAAAGGGTGGAAGGAGAATCCTGTTGATTTTGATTCTGTTTTTAATCAAACCTCTTTCACTTGGTGTTGGGGAACCTATGATATTGTTAATATATTTACAAAAGCTGATGTTACTGACCATATAGTAGTACATGATTTTGACCCCTATGATGACAATTTTTCTACAAATAAAAATACTACATTATTAGATGAATGGGTGTTTAAAAATGTTAAAACTTTTTTTCAAAATTTAAAGGATGACAGTGTTCTTAGCAAAAAATTGAAACATAATAAAATAATATTCTTCTTACACCTCTTGGGGACGGACACTGCCGGACACACTCATAAACCTAAAACAAAGTGAGTAGTAAAAACTTCTGGTCTTACATGTATATGCAATTATACAAGTTGCAACTCATATAATTGTTGTTTTCAGGAACTTCTTAACTACATTAAGTTATGTAGATAAAGGTATAAAAGAAATAGAGAAAGTTATAAGAGATTACTACCATGATGATGGTAAAACTACATTTCTGATGACTTCAGACCATGGCATGACTGATTGGGGTAAATAATGTAACTGAATTTTTGCAAAAATAAGTTTGAAATACAGCAACACCTGGGTTAATAATTCATGAGCTCTGGATATGTGAGAAACCTCTGTTACTTATAATTACAATAATTGCCCAATACTTTTGCATTGAGATGTCTCTGTTATTTTGAAGTTTTGAAACCAAATAATATTTTATTTTTAGACTTTTTGCAATTTATGGTACCTTAAGGAATACTTTGTAGTATTCCAGCTCTATTTAAGGATTGTGGAGTTTTTAAAAAGTAGTTCATTATGACATTTCTTAGCAGGACCCTCATTAAGATGAAGAAAAGGATAACTGTCCTTATAAACCTGCTTATTTGGGCAATTGGTAAAATAAAAAGCCTCTAGAAGTGATAAAAAAGCTTTGGTCATTTGAGAACTGAGTTAGACATGTTTTACTGTATTCTTAAACATTTTACTATTTTAGGTTCTCATGGTGCTGGAGATGATCATGAAACTCAAACACCTTATGTAATCTGGGGCTCAGGAGTAAAACAGAAAAAATATGTAAAACAAGACTTTGAAACAAATGGGATGTCTTTAGAACACAGGTTTGACATTAATCAAGTGGATTTGGCTCCACTCATGTCTACTATCCTTTCTATCCCTGTGCCTGTTAATTCTAAAGTAAGTCAAATAGTGTCTTATTGCAATTAATTATAAGAACAGATCTCTGCAGTCAAAATCATGGAATAATTCATTTGTTAAATGTTCTTGAACATTTGTGATTTCAGGGAAAATTGTCTACAGAAATTTTAAACATGTCATTGGCCAACAAATCCAAAGCTATGTATAGTAATGCTAGACAATTAGCATCACAGTACAATAAGAAGAGGCTTCAAGTTGAAGAAAATGCTTTGCCACTGCTTTATAAGCCTTATGAGTCTCTTAGTAAAGAAAAATATCAAGAATTTATTGAATTTACAGAAAAGTTATTAACTGATGGCCAATATGAAAAATGTATACTATTAAGTGAAGAAATCATACATTTAAGCCTTTCAGGACTTCAGTACTACCATAATTATTACCAGTTGCCACTGCTGCTCCTAGTGACAGCTTCATTTATAGGTTGGATAGGTTGCTTGTTGAAGATTTTAACTGAACAACAATATTATAGTCAAGCGGTACCCTCTAACTTAAATAGTGTTACCTGTTCAAGCAAATCTATGAGCAAATGGATGAATTCAGTGTTTATATTTTTATGTGGACTCTCATTCTTTTTGGTATATGGTAATGAAACATTAACTAATATTTCACAATTTTAACATCAGTACATGTAATGAACACATTATTTATACTTTTTCAGCCCAGAATTTGCCTACTCCCTATTACTTGTATTTTTTACTACCTATATTTTTATGGTGGTATGTTCTGGTATCATCATGTACTTGGTTGAAAGCATTTGGCCAATTCAGGAAAAACAAACAGATCTTGTCGTTATTACTGCAGATTTTAAGTTATGCACTTGGTTCCATGGCACTCGTAAGTTTGCATGTTTTGTTTTTTAGCAAATTATAGAATGTTGAAAATTTTCTATTATTTTAAAGTTCCGACTTTTTTACAGGCTCTTTCATTTACTTATAGATGGATGTTAAGTGTTCCACTTCTGGGAATGGGAATGTGGCCTATTTTTTCTTTAACTAAACACCATTTATCAAATCAAGTGCTTGTTTCTTGGCAAGTTGGGTGTATCTTACTTAGCATATTTACATTCATTCCAGTTGTTGGTAAAAATGTCTTTATAGAATTAGTGTAAGTATAGTATACAAGAATAATCTATTTTTTTAGGTGCCTTAGAGAACAATTTTATAATATGTAATTATTTTCCAGACTTATTGCGGGTATCATCTGGTTAGTGGCAATTGCAGTGTTCATATATAAAATATTACTTCATGTATATCCTGCCAATTTTAAAGATAAAAAGGAAATTGTACTGACTGCTGTACAAGTTGTATTGTTAATTTTATCTCTTCAAAATATTTATGTGCAATCTAAGAGATTTGAAACAGGCTCCCCAGTTTCCTACTACTATCAAACTCTATCTTGGACAATATCAGGTAACTCTTGAAAGCATTAATAACATAAGCCTAAAACAAGTGATGGTAAAATATCTCCCTTTTGCAGAAAATTAAACAGATAGATTTTTGGGAATGTGACTTTTTTCAAAGCTTAGCTTTTTCGATGTCCATCGTATGATATATTTTATAATTAAAGTGGCTAAGAGAAACGAAAAAAATATGCTTTCTTTTTGCCCTCTTTGCACTTGAATCCCCTGGGTTAATACCGGCTCGGCGGTAGTGATACCAGGGCCTTACTGAAAACTGGTATTAAGGTTAAATTTCTTTCTTTGTTTTTACCGAATCAGTGCGGTTATTGGAGCCCCTAGACTCCTCAGAATTCGCATTTTAATGTGTCTTTTGAATACTCTTGATCATGTATACATTTACTGGTTAGAATTGTGGACTAATGTGCCTTCCTCAACTAGGTAATGCTATTTCAAAATTATAAGAGTTTAGGTATAGCCTTTGGTTTTTAATCGTTAAATATTTTTGTTTCAGCTATTTCACTAGTCATTCCTTTGATGTTTTCAAAAAGAATAATGTGTCGTTTATTAGCTGTAAATACATCTATAATAAACTTCTACCTCTTATTGTCTGTTTCTCATGAAGGGTTGTTTATTGTTGCTTTGATATTTAACTTGATTTGTTGGATTTTTATTGAATTCAAGCTACTTCACTTAAAAGATATTAAGGTAAATATTATTTTAAGTATTGTAAGATTATTTGTTTTAAGATAGAATAATTTAATTTGTTTTAAGACGTAAATATTTGTATTTACCTGTACATCTTACAATGATTAAGGTCACTCAGTCTAACCCAAAGGTCAGAGGGCGGATGGATGTTCGAAGAAATATTAAAATAATGTTTTAAATGTTTTGTTTGATAACGAACAAGACGTGTAATAAGGTACTTGATACAAATAAGGCCTATGCTCAATTAAGGCCTGTAGTGCCGAAGAGTCATTTAAAATATATTTACATCAAAAATATTTCTTACACACATAGACGACGGCTCTACGGATCGGCAAAAAGTGTGCAAGACGTCCTTTCGCATTCACAGCGAAACTGGGAGGCGGTCGTTGGTGAAAGAGGGGTGTTTTTGTAGCTCGTTATTAATATATCGTGATTTTTATCGATTTTTAATACGGTGTGTTATGTAGTTTTGTTTCATGCGATGAATATAGATCACAATATAGCTTATTAAAAATGTACATATGCCTCTAAATTATAATTTTTATGTTATGTAAATGAAATACAGCATAAAACCATTTCTGAAGTATCAAGTACTAAATAAGACCTAGCTGTAACAATAGGCGTTATTCGTTCTTAGAGGAGTCTGTTTTATTTTAACTTCATTATGATAATTTACAAATTGGTTGTCTGATTATGTCTCCTCCGAGACCAAAGTGTGCTACGTGGTCTGAAAAAAGCTTGAGAGCCGCAGTTAATGATGATTCCATTATGTTTCAAGGCTTGATTTAGTTGGGTACCTATCGAGGTTTTTTAAATTTTTAAACATTTTGTAATATTTTTGAGAAGACGTGTTAATTTGATAATTTTATTTTGTTTACATGTTATTTTTTTTACAATTCTTTATTTCGTGTTAATATGCGACTTCAATTCTGACTAGCAATTTATGCGAAATATTTTGTAAAATAACTAAGAAAGTTATGCAAGAATCTCATTTAAACACTTGGTAAAAGGCTCAGAAATACATATTTTTATAAAATTAATACTCTAATAACAACATTCATATAATTTAAGTTTATAGGCTTTATTATCACTATGTTTTAAATAGGCCAAAGGCTAGGTGCCAGTATTACCTCTGTTTAAGTGATTTTTAATGAAAGTTTGTAATATTTTTCCTCATTATTTAAAATTTATAAACCAAAGAATAGTACCTTACTTTTATTTATCACCTTCTTCAAATATTTATTAAGATATGAGTGTTTGAAATAAGGGAGGCCTTATTTGTATCACTTACCTTATTTTTGCTACATATATAGTAATAAACTCTTAGCAATATTGGTTTCCAATGGCCGTCAACACGTATTCAAGCTAGTCTCTTCAAATTACATCTCTGTTGTGACGCATATTCGTATTAACATACGAATACGAAAATTAACATACGAAATAGGTATGTGGTTAAACAAGAGGGTGTTACCCTCTTGTTTAACCACATACCTATTATCGTGCATTTCGCGTGTGTTATTATGACTATGTTAATTTCACTCGCAATGATTAGTTCGACTTTTAAAGAAATAAAGCTTATGGAAAACATTTTGCAACCTAATAAATAATAAGTTAACACTTTTCTTACAGCTTGTAGAAAGTAGTTTTGACAGTCACCATGAAGATGAATTAAAATCTTTCGCATCATTAGAGAGAGGTATAAATTGTCAAGATTTCAGACGAGCTTTCTTTTTTGTATCCTTTTTATTATATTATTTCATTAATGATTCAAGGGGCTCATGGCTAAATAGTCACCGAGTAGTTTAGCAAATTGCAAAGTTAAGCATTCATAAACAGGTCAGTCTGGGTGACCATTCTTAAAACGTTGAGACCCCTCCATGCATCGGAGAGCACGTTAAACTGTCGGTCCCGGTTGCCATACCAACAATTGGAGTCCTGAACGTCCGTAAACAGTAGATAGACTGTTGTTTGACTGTGTTGTTGACTCTGTAAATAACCTAGTGCTTGGGTTGCGGGGGACTGATAGCAGTCGCGAAGTCCAGCTGTGTCATAGTAGACAAAAGCCGACCCCAACTTAGTTTAGCAAAAGGCTTGATGGATGATGATTTAATGATTCATGGATATCAATCATTGATTAAACCAAACATACCTACAGTAATAACGCATAGTATTATTATTAAGACTTTTGGTAAGAACTAATTATGAATGTGTTCACTCCCACTCCCAAAATACATTATTAGGTACCCTAATATTTGGCAATCCATCTCGATTAACTTCAGCAAAACATGTGACAGGAGATAGGTATTGAAATTTAATTACTGTTTCCTAAATATTGTACACTATTCATACGTAGTTATAACAGTAACATTTCATAACAGGAAATAAGTAGGTAATACTCAGGTTGTGTACATAGATAGCTAATACTCTTCCTTGACTCATATACTCAGGTTGTGTATATTATAGTTGCATTTTTTGGAACTGGAAATATAGCATCATTGAATTCATTTGAAGTCAGATGGGTGACATGTTTTATAACATCATTTCAGCCATTTATAATAACTGCACTTGTTCTATTAAAAACTTTAGCACCATTCTTGAGTGTTGCGTGTAGTTTTCGGGCTGTACAACATTTAACTAAGGTAAAACACTATTTGTAATATATGATTAGATAATTTAACTTAATATAAATAAAACTGTGTATTTATTTGATTTCAGGCACCCATTGGTTACCTAAATATGATAGTATTAATATATTCCAATCTAATGGGAATACAGTTGTTATACAATGTGAAAAATACAGGAAGCTGGCTAGAGATTGGGACATCTATATCACAATTTGTTATTGTTCAAGTTATAACCTTGTTTATTGTTATAATTAATTTTATTGCCAAATTGTTGACAGATATCAGTATTCATAGTTTTACTGGTAAAATATTTAGAAGCAGAAAAAAAAATGTTTAAAATTATTTTATTTTATTTATTTACCCTAATCATAACTCTTTGTGTTTATTATGAATTTCTACAAATTTATAAGTACAGTTCAAAATCTATTCTGTTAGAAGTGTAAAACTGGCTGTCCTCTCCATGCTTCCTAACCCAAACACCACTTTTAAAGTACCCTTCTTCTGACCATTTCTGCATTTGCTGAGTAGAATGTGGACCAGATACATCTTCATCCTTTTGGTCCCACTTAAACTCCCATTTTACTTCTTGCTGTTTATCTTCCTCACCATCACTTTCATTCTTATCAGGATTACTCTTCTCTAAAACATTTCTTTCTTTTACATCAAAGTCATCGGCATACATGTCTAGATCAGCATCTTCTTTTTTGCTCTCCTTTTTAGCTATGGTTGCACTTATTTTTTCATAGGTTTCTTGGTAAATATCCATATTACCCATTTTAGTTAGAATCTGATTAGCAAGTTCTGTTACTCTGGTAACTAATTTGCTATTTTCATCAACAATACCAGCTTTCTTCCTTTTCCAGCGCTCAACACTGGAGACTTTAGAACTAGCACCTAAAAATGAAAAAAAGCAGGTTATAAATCTTATAAGTCTACTAACAATTGTTAATTTTTTATCTACTGATACTGTTATATGAATAGTGTGTTAAATGCCTCAACGATTCATTTACAGACAGGCCTGATGGTCTGGTGGTTAAGAACCCTGACTTCTAAGAGGTTGGGGAGGTGCTGATGCCAGAGGTTGTGGATTCCATTCCTACCATGGACAAATAATTGTGTGATGAGCACAATCAATTTGATATGAATTTGAAAGAGAACTGTTACTTTTACTATTTGGCACTACTATCTAAGTACCTTTATTATTAAAATGTTAGGTAAATTAAGTCATCATCAACAGCCTATAACTGTCCACCGCTGGACATAGGCCTCTCCTTAGAACGGAGGTTTCAACATACTGGTAAATTAAGTACTAATTAGTAATATCAGGAAATAAAAGTATTCAAATGATCCTGTTACCTAGCCTTTGTAAAGCCTTTGCAATTGTTTCTTTAGGCTTCATGTGCTGTATAATTTCTTTATAATTCTGCAACAAATCAAATTTGTCCTCAGGTTCATCTTCATCACTGCTAGATTCATCACCAAGTCCTTTGTTCTCATCATCTTTGTGAACTTTGTATTTATCTTCAGGTCTCCCTTTAACCTTGACCCAGTCAATATTATCCAGCCAACCATCTCGGATTTCTTTTTCTTTCTTCCAGTGGTAGTGTCCCTGATTATCAAAGTGTCCCTCTTCAAGTTCTTCCTTCATATTGAACGGTGTAATTGTTATCTGTTATGACAAAAAAAAATCCAATTAATTTTATAAATGGATAATGAATGTGATTTACTTAATCATTCCAGAATAACTGAATAGACCTGGATAAAATTTTGACACATAGATTATAATTTGGAATAGCAAATGAGTTACTGTTTATCAAGTAATTGGCTAAAACGCCGTAACTATGTTACTGGTATATTCAAACAACGAAAATTGCGCCAAACAACTTGTTGGTATAATTTTTTAGAATTTAAAGTTATTTTACTCACTTCACCTTCCATTCCTCCGATGCCATCTTCTTCGCCCTCAATATCATCAGCATTCAAGACATTATTTCTTTCCTCCTCCGCACCACTGTCTTCTTCATCCGAGTCTAATGAGTGCTTTTTACCCTCTGTTTTTTGTTTTTTTACTTCTTCGAGATCAAAAGCTACAGTTGCTGATCGTTTTGCCATTTTAATGGAATATACAAAAATAATATTTTTGTTATGAATTTATGCATCAAACGTTATATGACATTTGACAGCATACAAGATAGTGTTGCCAAGATTGGGTAATTTATTTGCCTCATTCATACCTCATCAAATTATACAGAAATCATCCAGTGGTTGTGACGATCCTTACTAACTAATCTATCTTTTACCTTTAAACGAGCAATTCTTGTATGTAATCTGCATCTCGGCAACTGTTCCAACGATTTTCATAAAATTTAGTAGGCTCGTGTATCACGAAGTGCCTCTCTACCGCCGCTGCATAGTCGGGGCATATTTGTCGGAGAGAGCCGTCGTCTACCCCAGTAGGACCGGTCTCGGTAGGCGTGAAATGTCGTGCGGTGTTCCGTGTTAGGGCCACTCTTGTGGAACATCGGCTACGACTGGGTGCTTCGTGGTGCCTTCTTGGATGGTGTCGCCGTCGTGTGCTACGCGGACGACACGCTCGTGACGGCGCGTGGCAAAACGCACCACGAGGCAACCCTGAGGGCCACGACCGGGGTTGCCCAAGTCGTTGAGCGAATCCGGCGGCTGGGTCTCAAGGTGGCTCTGCACAAGTCTGAGGCCCTGTTCTTCCACGGGCTTCGGAGGAAGCCACCTGAGGGATCTAGCCTCACTGTAGGAGGTACTCGCATCGGCATCGAGCCCTCGATCAGGTATCTGGGGCTCGTACTCGATGGCAAGTTGTGCTCGCGAAGGAGACGGCGGAGCGGGACCGGGAGAGGTTTAGAACTCTCCAGGCCCGGGAACGGGCCAGGTACCGCAGGCGACTCAGGCGCCGGAGGTCGCAGAAGGACCTCCGTCCTCAATAAGCGCAGGCCGGGGGGTGACAGGTGAGGCCATCTGCCACTCTAGCAGAAGCAGGCCGGGGTAGCGGCGAGCACGTTGCGAAGCGCGCTCGCTTCCAGGGAGCAGAGGGAAGATGGGGTTCCCACACGGGGGGGGTTGTCTACTCGTCTGTAGATGGCTCGAGGTATGTCGGGGCACCAGGGACTTCCTTTCTAGGGTATACCTGGTTCCCCGGCTATTAGTACCCCAGACGGCGTGCGGTTTTAGTCGGTTCCAGTCCGACATGCCACCGATAGGTGGTATCCGAGGGGATTGCAGCACGGAAAAAAAGGGGCACTTGGCCGACAACGCGTTGCACTACTGCAAGGTCAGTAGTGGATCTCGCTCTATCACATTAAGTGAATTATCTCCTTGGCTCTACCATACCGTTGTATACATAATTGTTAAAAAAAACTGTTAATATTGTTATTTGTTTTGTTTATGTTTGTTATCTGTTTTGTTTATGTTTGTAAGTTGATTTTCTATTTTTAAAACTCCGATTTACTAAGAATTACTTCAGATTATTATAGATATTAATACAGACATTGTTTTCGTAATTTACCACTTCAATAGATTAAATTTTGAACATCATTCTAGAAGTGTCTATTTATTGATAAAGGATTTCCTAGTAGTCCGGAGTTGTTACCAAAAGCATGATATGTATTTTACTTTTTTTATGACTATTATTTAAAATATTAACGTAATCGTTCGGAAATAGACACACATGTACATTATATAATTAGTTACAATTCTGAATTAAATAAATGATTTTTATTATTACTATGCAAAAACATATAAAATGTTTCTAGGCTCAGTACGTTTGTTTGCGAGCATACCTGCTCTATATTCGGTTTGCAGCCAACTTCATTGACGCAGGGTTATGTGGCGCGTGCTAGTATATATTAACGACTTACCTCACTTTGTCAAGGACAATCTCGAGATTGTGTTGTTTGCAGATGATACATCACTATTATTTAGACTAAAACGGACACTTTCTGATTTCACATTTGTAAACAGCGCCATTTCGAAAGTGGTTCATTGGTTTGATGTCAACAATTTACTATTAAATTAACAAAAAACTAAGTGTATACGTTTCACTATGCCAAACGTCAAGCCAGTGAAAACTACTGTGATAATTAAGGATGTCGGGCTGGACCTTGTGGACACTACGACATTTTTAGGTATAACACTAGATGCTAAGCTACAGTGGGGCCCACATATTGATAAATTGTCGAGTAGACTCAGCTCAGCAGCATACGCAGTAAGGAAAATCCGAGAGTTGACTGATGTTGATACAGCACGACTTGTTTACTTCAGCTACTTTCATAGCATAATGTCGTACGGTATTCTGCTGTGGGGGAATGCTGCCGACATTCAAACTATTTTTGTGCTGCAAAAGAGAGCTATTCGAGCACTTTATAATTTAGGCAATCGTTGTTCATTGAGGCAGAAATTTAAAGAAATAAATATAATGACAGTGGCAAGTCAATATATTTATGAAAATGTAATATATGTTCACAAAAATAAAGATAGCTTTTTGAAAAAAAGTGATGTACATGCCATAAATACCAGAAATAAAAATAAATTTGTTGTACCCGCCTCTAGGCTCCAAAAGATAAACAAGTCTTTTCGAGGTCAATGTGTCCGATTTTATAATAAAATCCCAAATAATATTCAGGAGTTGAGTATTAAAAAATTTAAATCCGCAATAAAACGTGGCTTGTGCCAGAGGGCCTACTACTCGATTGTGGATTACATGGAGGACAAGAATGCTTGGGATTAATTAGCGCAGGCTATTTCTTTCTTAAGTAAAAATGTGGTGTGGCTAGTATGTTTATTATTATTATTATTTTTTCTATTTTTTATGTGTCACTTCATTTTTTCTTTTATTCGTTTTTTCTTCTTAATCTTGTTTTCTCTTCGTTGTTTTTTTCACCTTTAAGTCCTTAATAACGGACATACTAGCACACATCAAAACAATGTTGTGATATATTTAATAGTGCCATTGTATCTACTTGTGAATTGCACAAGAGTGGCCATGAGTTTGTTTGCCCTTTCTTCTCATAAGGCTCAACCCCTTGGAAACGGGCGGTTGTAGATCGGCACAGGCATATCATAGATTTTGTATGGGTTTGATTTTTGTTAAATTTATTTGGTTACTATTTGACAAAACAGAGATTGTTGCTTTTGTGTGTGTTGATCTATGACTTTAGAGTCTACATGGAAGACGATTTCAAACAATTTTGGAAATTTTATGAAATAAAGAAAGTTTGAGTTTGAGTTTGAGTTATACGCAGCGGGTCACAAACGCGGTGTGAGAGGGCGGCGCGCGACTCAATCATACGTCTAAATGTTGTGCTACAGTGTAGCGTAATAGCGTGTACGAGGTCTGTGACTGGAATTGTACTCCGAAATTTTAAACTTAAAGAACATGGTGTGGACTTGGAGAGCTACGAACAATAGAAAATTTCCTTAATTATACTAAAAACTAAAATAATTTACACAACACAACACTGTACAGTTTGTTGGGATATTTGATTATTACATGCATTCACTTAGCAGTTTTTATTTTCATAAAGCTTTAACCACACTTGGTACAGGAATTTTATTCACTTTAGGAGTCCATCACGCTTGAGGGTGTAACGAAACTGTTTCTCTTTTCTATATGTTTATTCATTTAAGAATGCGTATATATATATGTATGTGTATATGTATATTTGCTGGTATAGTATGTAGGTACTTATATATATATAGGTTTATTTATTGTGATATGCATTGTAGATGTAAGTATAAAAATTGTAAATGTCTGTAGATAATATGATATGTGTAGTATATGTAATATGTATAGTAGATGATGATAAACAAATAGTAGGTTCACATATTCAACTACTACTGTCACTCTGCAACTTTTGATCCATCCTAAGGTTGCCTGGAAGAAATTGCATTTAGCAATAAGGCCGCCCTTTGTACACTCGATATTTGATCGTTGTGTTCCTTTCTTGAAACTCTGTAATTTAGTGTGCAAATAAAGAGATCTATCTATCTATCTATCTATCGAACCATCATAAATCAATAAGCATTTGATTTCTTTTAATAAATAATTTAATCAAATTACTACCCCATCCAATCTGGTGAGGCTACTTTAGAACCAGTAACCAATTAGTCTTATTTAGATATTTCTGTTTACCAATTTGGGACAAACCTGGACATAAACTGTTATGTAATTTTACAAATTAGAAATCAGTTGTCACAGATTTATAATGTCGGGAGATTTAGTCGAACATAAAATATTCCGAATTTATGGTAGAATTTGTTTTTAAGGTGTAAAATTCAACTTTTTAAATGATTCTTTGTGTAAGTATATATATTACTTATTTCAGATTTTCATCAACAAAATTTAAAAATAATTTCTTTTTTGTAAGCGCAGAAACCTAACGACTTAAGCAGTTTCCATTTCCTTGTTTTTGGGGAAAATCTGATTTCGATAGCGATAGCAACTAAACAATTTAAAAAAAAAAAAAACACGCTTGTACGCTAATGTGCGTGTCGCCGAGAGTAAATGACACAACTAGACATGCAAATTATTGCTACTTTTACATCATATTCATTTGACGAAATGATTGCTATTATTCACAGCGATTTCACATGCGATTGTAATTACGTCATGGACAAAGATGTGGTATTAAAATCAATCAAAATTCTTTATATCAAAGATTACTATTATATTTTTTTTTAGATTTAGACCTTTCGCGATTCTTGCGCTAGCGTAATAATAATAAAAATCATCATCAGAAAATGAATATCAGTCGAAATTATTATCAGATGGTACGGTTGACATCTGTCGGCCATGCCACCGTCCTGGCGAATCAATCAGGCATATTATTTCTGGTTGTTCTCGTCTTGCTAATGGCGAATATTTGCACAGGCACAACCAAGTAGCCAGGATCGTACACCTAACTACATGTCAAAATACAATTAAATATTGATAATGAAAGAAATTCGACTGAAAAATGTTAACCCGAACTAGATCCAGAGCACTGAAAACATCCCCGGACTCGTCGCTCCGCTCCGTCTTGCCGTCCCCGGAAGCTACAACAGAAGTTCCGGCCTTGGCTGAGGCGTCGAGCTTGACTTCAAGCGACGAGTTTTTCTCTCCGCCGACGTCGCCAACACCTGTACGTCGGCAGGGGAGAGGCCGGCCACCGACCAGCTTGGGATCCCGAGGACTACTGACCTCGAACAGGGTCCCCGCTACCGGTGGTGATGTGCGCCGCATGAAGTGGACAAAGTCTATCAATGAAAATGTCATGCGGGCATATTATCGGGCTACAGAGGTGGGAACGAACCTTACTGCGTACCGTGTTCGACTAGTCTCTTTGTTTCTGGTCACTTCCCTTCGCGGCACCGTGCGACTAACGTGTGACTTCATGTGCTAACAATTTAAATATTGTTTTCTGTTTTTCTGCGACTAGTTTCCGGCTTGCGGGCGGCTAAATGTTGTGTATAGTGTTTTAAAGAAAGTCAGTAAGTTTTTATTGTTTTTAAACAGTAATATAGTGCTGAATTATTTTATTACGATTATTGGTGAGTAAATTTATTTTCTTTCTAAAAGTGGGTAGGAGGTATCCTTTGTTTATATTGATTTTTCTCTGCGTGTTGTTTATTTTTAAACTTGTGCCGTTTGAAATTGTTGTTTGGTGTGTCTTTGTTTGGCTATGTCGGTCGTTAGCGAGTTGCCGGACCCCGGCGGTACAAGTGAATTTGTAACACCAACCGGGAAAAGGACATTTATCGAAATGTCACCTACGGATTTCTCGCCGAAAGACAGTAGCCGTAGGCGCATTATTAATTCGGACTTAAGTGGTAATGTTTCGTCTCCTACCGGTCGTGATAACTGTGGGGAGTACAACTACTGTGACTTAGTGTCACAGGCCACTGATTATTTGGCAAAAATTAATGAATTAGTTAATGATCAGGGATCTCGGATTAATGTAGGTAATAAAACGGCGATTATGGATATTACTCAACGAATTACCGGTATCGTATCCCTGTTAGTAATAAAATCCTTTAGCAACGAAACGAAGTTAGCGAATTTTGAGCGACAAATGGAGGGTATCGCAAATCAACAAACGAGTTTAACGTACGCGGACAAACTTAAGCTTCGCTTACCACCTAAATCTGCCCCGTGCCCGGTATCTACTGAAGCGCGCGTTCCTAGGCCTTGTGTTATTGCCTATCCCACTACGGAACGCTTAGCGGACTATGCGACCTCGTCAGCAACGAAACGAGCTCTCATGAAGGCTATTAAACCGAGCGATGAGGGTTTCCAAATTGTAGGCGTTAAAAAAACCTCTTAGGCAGGCGTCGTGTTACGTGTAGCTAACGAACGGCAGCTTAAGAAACTGGAATCTGTAGACGCCATTAAATCAGTAGGGTTACGATTAGAAAAACCGAAAGGCCGAAAGCCTCGCATAATTGTAAAATACGTACCCGGTTCTATGGAAGATCGTGCCTTCCTAACAGCCTTATACCGTCAGAATATCAAGGACGAATTAAAATTAAGTGAGAACGATTTTATTAAGTCAACCAAAATTGTGAGGCATCCTAAACTAGAAAATGGGCGTCAATGGATAGGCTTAGAATTAGAGGCAGCAGTTAGGAAACATCTAGCCAACACAAAAGATAAACTTTATATAGACTGGGCCACATGTAGATTCATAGACGATATAGAAGTAGTTCGTTGCTTAAATTGTCAGCAATTCGGTCATGTACAAAAGTTTTGCACCATTAAAACCCCTACTTGTGCTAATTGCGCCGCCGCACATGAAACACGAGCTTGTCCAGATAAAGACACACCAGATTTTAAGCCCACGTGTGCACAGTGCAAGCGGTTCAAAAAACCATCTGACCATCGATGCGGCTCACACGACTGTGCCACATACAAATTAAAACTGGAACAGCTAATATTAAATACCAATTACTGAATAGTTTAATTAAAAAAAAACAAAAAAAAGTAACTTACTAAGTGATGGATAATATTTCAATAGGCCAGTTAAATCTTCATAACGATAAAATAGCTACATCAGAATTAGACCGTTTAATTTTAGAACAAAAGTTAGACATTGTCCTTATACAAGAACAATATCAGAGCGCTCGCTTGCGTCGTAATGTAGTACAGCTTGACTGCCGCTCGCAGGCTAGGATATATGTTGCAAGTTCTAATTTTACGGTAACATTTTTGCGTAATCTTATGACGTCACACTGCGCCGTTGCTGAGATCTCATCCTCTACCTGTAAGGTTTACGTAGTGAGCTGCTATTTTCAATATTTACATCCTATTGATCCTCACTTACATCACTTACGTTACGTCTTGCAGTTCCTCGTGGGACATAAAATTATCATTGGCGCTGATGTCAATGGGTCATCTTCATTATGGTATGGCAAATTGCGTTCAACCGACATGGTCGACGTTGTGCGGTTGAAGATTTCATTGCGGAAATGAATCTTACTATTCACAATACCCCCGATGCACCACCAACTTTTTGCAACCCAATGGGTGAGTCTTCTATTGACGTGACGCTTTCGCGCGGCGACTTCTCGATATCCGGATGGCGTGTCCCTCCGGACGCATCCTGTAGTGATCACCGCTTGATCGTGTACGAATTCATACCAAGGGTTGCACAGGATCCACAAAGGGCTGCCTATAATTTTAGATATAAAACTAAAGGTGCGAACTGGGCTTTGTTTGGTTCACTCTTTGTAACTCATACCAAAGACTTCAGTCGCAGTAGTTTATCAGCTGAGGAAAGCGCAGAAATACTATCAGAAACTTTCACATACTGCGCTGATGTATCTATTGGTCGCGGATCTATCACTAACACTTGTAGATGTGATTGGTGGAATGATAGATTAGCCGACCTACGTTTCTACGTAGTAGTAGTACGTAGCTTCTGCTACCGGAAAGCTCGTAGAAAGTTAAACACTATTAACAAACATAACGTAACAGGAGATTTGTACAATAATGCTCTCATTGCTCTTAGACTTGCCAGGTCCCACTACAGAGCTGCTGTGGAAAAATCCAAGGGAAACTTAATTCATAAACTTGTTGATAAACTCGATAGAGAGGGCCCGTGGTCACCTTTGTATCACGAATTTAAGGCAAATAAATTAATCGACCTTGCATACATACAGAACATCAAAATTAATAACAGATATACCACAGGAGTAGAACAAACAGCAGAATATCTATTAGAATCACGTGTACCTAACGACACTGATCATCACCGGCAGATCAGGCAGTGGGCCATCGAACCACCACTGTCTCCAATGTCTAATTTACCAGCTTCAGACGAATTTCTCGGTATCATTCGATCCTTGCCGCTAAACAAGGCTTCAGGCGATGATAAAATATCTAACAAAATGATAAAAGAAGCTTGTAAACTTTCGGGTGACACGATTTTCACTGTCTTTAAACGTTGCATTGCTGAAGGAATATTTCCTCGTATATGGCGGTGCGGTAATATTCGTATAATATCAAAAAGTGGCGACAAGCCACCGGATGATCCTAAATCCTACCGACCAATCACATTGTTACCATCGTTAGGAAAGCTTTTAGAAGGTCTTGTAGTGCCCCAGCTTCTGCCAGGTGGAGTTAAATTTCATAATAGACAATTTGGATTTACGTTGGGTAAATCGACAACTGACGCTGTTATATCGGTTAGAAAGTTTGTCACAGAGTCAAAATTTCAATACGTGCTGGCTATTTTCTTAGATATATCTGGCGCCTTCGACAACACATGGTGGCCCATGCTGTTGCTGAAATTAAAATCACGAGGGTGCTTTAAAAATATTTATTCCCTTATCTCTTCGTACTTTTCACAAGGTACAACTAAACTAAGACTTGGTCATCATTCTGTGTCGAAGGCGCTTACAATGGGATGTCCTCAGGGATCGGTGCTAGGTCCATACTTGTGGAATATCAGCTTCGACGATTTTCTTGCGATACCAATACCATCCGGATGTATTATGTATATAGTATTATTATATCCGTATAGTATATTATGCTGATGACGGCTTATTACTGGTGGAATCTGATACTAGGGCGGGACTTGAGAGATCAGCCAATAGATGTTTGAACTTGATATCTCAATGAGGTGAACGTAATCGCTTAACTTTTGCACCCAACAAAACCTTCCAGCTACTTTTAAAAGGTAACCCCAAATCACCGCCAAGCATTAGATTTGACAATGTTACTGTAAAAAATAAAACCTCAGTGTGTTACCTAGGATTAGTTTTAGAAATAAACTTTTCATTTATCGAACATATTAAAATAGTTAATGAAAAGTCTAAAAAGAGTTTCTGTGCATTGACAAGGATATCAACTGCGACATGGGGTCTATCATTTAATACATTAAAGATCATATACGGAGCTACTTATTTAGGTTCTATGTGCTATGGTGCACCTGTATGGGCCGATAGGGCGACCGTAGGCGCTGTCCGTCGCAAACTGTTACAAGGCCAACGACTTGCACTGATATTCCTGTGTAAGGCATATAGGACGGTTAGCACTGAGGCTTTGCCGGTGTTGGCGGGTGTGCTTCCGGTCGATCTCGAGGTGCAGAGACGTGCAGCCATGTACTATTCAAGACAACAAAACATGGAATGCGATTTTTTGGGCGCGCGGGATCGCGGTAAAATTACAAGATTGCTTCAACAGCAGCCCGATGTCTATAATGACCTCATAGACGAATGGCCACAACGCTGGGATGAATCATCCAAGGGGCGCCATCTTTACCAATTCTTTCCATCTGTTCGCGAACGGTTGTCGAGGATATGGCTTGAGGTGGATCTCTGTGTCGCTCAATTTCTTACGGGTCATGGTAACTTTAAGAGCAAGCTTTATCCATTTAAATTAGTCGAGTCACCATTGTGTCAATGCTCAACACCTAACTCTCACTATGAACAGTCTGCTCATCATATCCTCTGGGAATGTAGTCTTTGGTATAATGAACGTAATATAATGCTGAATAGCTTGCAGGTGACATCTGGGGCGGTATACTATGGGGATCTTGTGTCAACTAGGGTGAATTTCCGTGCGTTTAGGTGATTCTGCCATACATATTATAGAAATCAAACATAGCTCACGTAGGACCCGTAATATTTGTGGCCGTGTTGCTTCCCTGTTTAATGCGTGGTGGTGTATGCCCATTTTACTTCATTTTGCCTCCCGCTTTGCTAAGGAGGGAAGTGGATTTACTGTATTTCCAACTCCTCCAATTTTCTTCTGATTAATTTCGTTGCGGGTTCCAAGACAGTTTAATTTCTTCCCGGGACTTCCCGAGTGTCATAACTCGGTGTGTTCATGGGTCACTGCTGTGGATCCTGGTGTACAGGAGTTACAGTGGTGGGCGTGTGGGTGGGATTAGTCCCAATAGTCTGTTTGTTTCAGGAGCTGGAACCAGCTGTCAACGTATCAGCACAACGATTGTCGGATCAAGTACGAGCTATACAGCGCTGTCATCTGCTGGATGATGCAGTACTTGAGAGGATACGCTCTGACATACGGAATAGCTTAATTATCCCGTCTTCGTCACACACTGTGGATTCGGTAGCCAACGGACCACTAGATACCGTAGTTTTTTTTGGTAAGTCGTAGTAATAATTTATCCTGTCAAATTGGTGTTAAAAGTGTCCTGTTATGGTAGGAAGCGGGTTACTGTTGAATTGAGTCGTGTTAACCTTCATGTTTAAATAAAGAAGGGATTCTTTCTATAAATTTCACAAACCGAGCATATATAAGTCCGGCTTCCAACCGCAAGGGACACTCTGGTGATTCTAGTCTTCCGATCTGAAGTAGCATTTTGATTGTCTGTTTCTTCATTTTTAGTAAATTCTGTGTCCTAAGTACCCACTTCAGTGGTAAGTTAATCTTATTTTTCTTGTAGTCATTTGTTTTTGCAATCTGAACGTTTATATGAGTGTTAATCCATTCGCAGGGCTCCAGATTTCGGCTCAAGAGATACTTCTCAGACGGCGTGCTCTTTTGTTTGTGGCCTTCTTGTGCGTAAATGAGCTCCTAAGTTTCATCTGGCATCATTACTGGCAGTCACGCGGCTCACAAGCAAGCGGTCAGCCTCATTCAAGGGTTACGTAATTTTTGTTAATGTAACTAATATAAATACCTAACCTTCCTATATACCTAATATAAATAGCCGACTCGGGCTGGTGTGGAAGTAACCTGCAGGAGTGCTGACGCGCGCCGCTGCGGGATCTTTTTTTATATACCCACTATTTATATTTATTCAATTTTAACTCTGTATTTGGAAAGAAATATACATGTATGTATGTACACATATCCATATCCTTTTGTTTTCGACAAGGCGCCCTGAGGTAATCTCGTGTATTTCTCCGCTGGGTAAGCCGGTGAGTAGACCGCCTGTTACGTGCAGCGGTTACACCCAATACAATGATAGGATAAGGAGCGCTTTGGAGGATGCGATTCTGGAATACCGATATTTAAATTGCAATGATAGGCCCCGGTTATTCCGTTTGCCCATTCATAAAAGAAATTTAGCGCTGGTGGGTGCCCTGGATTCGTTATTGCCTGAATATTTAGATAATAGCGAAGATCTTAGTGATACACATTCTATTCTATACTGTGCGGCTATTGCAGTTTGTCGAGTAGCTGGTGTTAAAATAGCTGACAATGTCACTACTACTCGACCTAAATCTACTGTACCAGCTTGGCAGTATAGAATTGAACGTCGTATTGCTGAGACCAGGACACTCATCGGTAAGCTTATTAGCTACCGATCAGGGAATACGCGGCCGAGAGTGATGCGCTTTGTGAAACAAGCATTCTTGGGGACTACGATAAGTCCTCAGCAGTACATGTCATGTGTCACAGAGCGCATAGACTTTCTAAAGCAGAAAATTTATGCATGAGCAAATAGGATAAGACGGTATAAAAAACGAATAGATCAGTACAATCAAAATCGGATGTTCGAAAGAAATGAGAAGTGGGTGTACCGGAAATGGGAGGAACCGGATCCATGTGTGGGTGATAGGCATTTACCAGATGAAAATGTCACAAATACATTTTGGCGTAACATCTGGTCGGTGCCTGTCACTCATATAGAAGGTGATTGGTTGCAGGATGTCAGATGCTCATGTGAGTCTATAACACCTATGGAACCTGTTATAATTGATAAAGATGATGTAAGTTGTGCAGTTCGTTCATTACCGAATTGGAAATCACCTGGTCCAGACGGACTGCACAACTTTTGGCTTAAGTGGTACCGAAGCTCACATGCGCGTTTGGCATCTAAATTCCAGGCAGCTTTGGATCCGGGTTCATTACCCCAATTTTTAACCACTGGCATAACCCACTTACTCTATAAGTCTGGTAGTGTCATGGATCCCAAAAATTTTAGACCTATCGCATGTTTACCTACCATGTATAAACTTTTAACATATATTCTGAGACTCAAAATTACATATTAATAATAATTCGATTTTGTCAGTTTCTCAGAATGGATGTAGAAGTGGGACCCGTGGCACTAAAGACCTCCTTATCATAAACATGACCATTAGCCAACAGGTACGTCGTAATCGTAAGAGTTTGACGACGTGTTGGATAGATTATAAGAAGGCTTATGATTCGGTTCCACACACATGGCTTTTGAAGGTGCTGGAGTTGTATAAAATTGATACAACTCTGTACACTTTCTTGAAGTCATGTATTGGGCAATGGAGAACAGCACTTCGCTATCCAGGATGTCGGCAGACGGCGATACACGATGTACTAATAAAGATCGAGCGGGGTATATTTCAAGGTGATAGTCTGAGTCCCTTGTGGTTTTGTCTGGCTTTGAACCCTCTTAGCACTTTATTAGAGGGTTCAGGGTTAGGCTATAGGTTGCAGAAAGATGATCAAGTTATATCTCACCTTCTTTATATGGATGATTTGAAACTGTTAGCCTCCAACAAATTACAATTGACAAAGTTACTAAAGGTGACGGAAAACTTTAGTAATTCTATCAAAATGGAATTTGGTGTAGACAAGTGTGCAGGCATGTATGTAAAGAAGGGTGTGATAGTTGAATCTGAAGGAATAGAGCTTTCAGATTCAACAAAACTCAGATCTCTGTCTGCCACTAAAACTTACAAGTATCTGGGTATATCACAGTCGTTGGGAATACCAGAATCTAACATGAAACAAACATTGCAGGAACGCTTTTTTGGCCGCTTGAAAAAAGTACCTAAAAGTCTTTTACCAGGAGGCAACAAGGTGCCTTTGGTATACTTAGATGGACTCAGACCGAATTAGATGCCCTTGACAGGAAAGTCCGTACACTGCTGACTGCATCCCGAATGCACCACCCAGGTTCATCAGTTATGAGATTGTGTATCCCGCGAGAGCTTGGGGCTCGCGGACTATTAAATATCAAGACCCTACATAATCGCGAGATATGCAATCTCAGAGAATATTTTCTACATACCGATGTGGGAGTGCATCGCAATTTAGTTGCAGTGGATACCGGATTTACCCCGCTCGCTCTGGCTAAAGAGAATTGGCGCAGACCTGTAGTACTTAGTGTTAATGATCGCAGGGAAGTATGGAAGGGCAAAGAGCTCCATGGTCGGTTTTATCGGGCCCTAAACGGGTCCGATATAGATTTAAAAGTATCTACGGCTTGGCTACGGTATGGTGATCTCTTCGGAGAAACTGATTGTTTTGTTTGTGCGATTATGGACGAAGTTATCATGACGAATAACTATCGGAAATATATCCTGAAAGATGGTACGGTTGACATCTGTCGGGCATGCCACCGTCCTGGCCAATCAATCAGGCATATTATTTCTGGTTGTTCTCGTCTTGCTAACGGCGAATATTTGCACAGGCACAACCAAGTAGCCAGGATCGTACACCAATATCTTGCCCTTAAATACCATCTTGTGAATCTAGAGGTACCATACTACAGGTATGTGCCCGGCCCAGTTCTCGAGAATGGTCGGGCCACGTTGTATTGGGATCGATCTATTATCACAGACAGTACTATTGTTGCCAATAAGCCTGATATTGTGCTGATAGATCGATTAGAGCGCCGCGCAATGATTGTTGATATCGCCGTTCCTCATGACGAGAATCTCGTGAAAGTTGAAAAAGAAAAACAAATCAAATACTTATTTCGATTTTTCTCACGAGATTGTCGATTTGTGGAATGTTGATTCAGTGATCATTGTTCCAATAGTCGTATCTGCTCACGGATTGATAGCCAAGAGCCTCGACCAACACCTTAAGAGGCTCACGTTGGACGGCTGGATCAAGGGTCTGATGCAAAAGGCAGTCCTCCTTGACACGGCTCGTATAGTGAGGAGGTTCCTATCTTTGGAGTCCTAACCAGCGGTGTCTTGGTCCCTGTACCCGATGTCAGTGGTCTACTATTTTTTTATATTTTTATATGTATTTTTTGTAATTTTTTTATAAAGTGTATGTTTAAAAATGTAAATAATATGTATTTAAAGTAAATAAAGAGAATAAAAATTAAGTAGCAGTGGTTTTGTAAATCAGCCACAGGTGATGAAATTATATTTAAATCATATGATTTATCACATGTGATCGTGATTTTATTCCATCCCTAGTAAATATGTTTTTGCCCCAAACTCAATTTTGATATGAAACTATCCTATGCGTGATTACTGTAAGGTCATATTATACTCGTACAACACAAAATATGAAAGCAACGTGTGCGTATCCAGTGACAGTACTTTTTATACTAAACGCGGGGAAAGCATTTAAAGGCCATCGGTTGGACGCTACATTTTCCTTTGTTTTCACAGCTTTGACTCTCCATCTAGACATATTAATAATCAAAGGGGCTAATAATAAATCTGATGGCACCTACATATTAAAAAGGCATTTTTAGCGTCCTGTGACGTATAACTGGCCTTGAATTTGATAAAACCAGTTTATTTTTATTTTCGCAAATGATTTTTTTTCATTGTAGCATATCATCTCAGTTGCATTTAAACTACTAAGATTACTTGTGACAAATTATTTTTGTACAAAAGTCGCTCACTCGGGTGCCTATAGCACGGTTGATCTTTCGATGTGATTTCTGTCAGCTGTCACACACATCACATCATCATCAACAGCCTTTAGTAGTCCACTGCTGGACATAGGCCTCTCCTTAGAAAGGAGATTTTGGCCTACTATACCACGCTGGCCGACGGGTTGGTATAGGGTTTGTGTAAAGTTTTCTTTCTCTTTGCAGTGCTGTCGGCTCTTACGACACCCTCGGGATGAATAGGGCTGGTGACACTCCGTATTCTGAGAGAATCCGTCACCACACGGACACTCTCAGTCAGCTGTAAGATTTTTAATTTGCCTACATAATTACGTAATACAAATCAATAACTCGACCTGCAGCATTGGCGTCTCTAAATTGACGTATTTTTATCAAAAGGGGTTTTGGATATATAAGTGAAATATTAGGTCTTTACCTATGAAATTGCCTTTCTTCAGTACTGGTCATTTCAAATAAAAAAAAGTTTGTAATGGCTCTGTATTCTAAATTCAAATTAATTTTGTTTTAAAACCATGACATTCTATTTACAAACTCAGTCTTTTGTTTTTTGATTAGCGTTGTATTTTCATTACATTTGAACATTTTTCGTCATAATGGATACTTTAAAAATTCGTGTAGTTATGGAATATGAGTTCCGTCCGGAACCAACGCGACACAAACGGCACGTAACATCAAAAACGTTTACGGAGAGAACTGTACAAACGAACGCACAACCCGTTATTGGTTTTCCCGGTTCCGTACTGGAAATTTTGACTTGAAAAATGAAGCTCGTGGTCGTTCGGAGACTTTGGTTAACAATAATGAATTAAAGGCGATTGTGGAAGCTGACGAAACTCAATCTACAGCTGTGCTAGCAGCAGCTTTTAATGTAAGCATCAAAACAATATTGATCCATTTGCGACAAATTGGCAAGGTAAAAAAGCTTGATAGATGGGTGCCCCACGACCTTAAAGATCGCCAGCGCAACGTACGCGTCGAGACCTGCCTTGCGCTGCTCAACAGGCAAAGAAATGAAGAAATTTTGAAACGAATTGTTACTTGCGACGAAAAATGGATTCTGTTCGACAATCGAAAGCGCTCAGCAAGTTGGTTAGACCCTGGTTCAGCACCAAAGCAATGCCCTAAACCAAAAATGACCCCTAAAAAGGTGATGGTCACTGATTCACCACAGCTTTTTACAAAACGGCATGAGCATTAATGCAGTTGTGTACTGTGAAGAACTGGAGAGAATGATGGAGAAGCTTGCACATCTGCAACCAGCTTTGGTCAATCGGTCGTCCGCACTGCTCCTTCACGACAACGCGCGACCCCATACTGCGCAACAGACAGTCTCCAAGCTGCAAGAGCTGGGGTTGGAAGCTCTCCCTCATCCGCCATACTCACCAGACCTTGCACCTACCGACTATTACTTTTTCCAAAATTTAGACAACTTTTTAGTGGGTAAAAAATTCAATTCCCGAGAGGCAGTAAAAATGTCTTTGAAGAGTTTGTTGCCTCCCGTCCAGCTGATTATTACAAGAAGGGCATCAATAAACTGCCAATGCGTTGGCAAAGATGCGTCGATTGCATGGGTGATTACTTCGAATAACAGAAATAAAAAAGTTTGAAAAAATAAGTACTTTCACTTATTGCATACAAAACGGCAATTTCATAGGTTATTATTATATATATATAATTATTTATGCAAAACTACCCTTAAACAGCGGTGGTTAACTTATCGATTCCAAATTCTCTATCAAAAATAATAATAATTGGACACCTTTTTTTTACTTTTTAAAACAAACAGACTTTCAGCGAATCAAAGCAGGCCGTTTGTTTGAGCACATCGCCTGCTCGAATATTATGGCAGCATCT